TGTGTGTTGATCCGTGCGCTATTTTTTGTTTTTGTCAAGCCATCGTTTCATTAATGCAAACGTGTTATTTAATTATAAAGTTAATGTAAATACGTAAAAAAATCAATAGATCCAAAGTTGTTCGTCTTATGTTCGAGATGTCAAAATTGTTCGTGCCGATTTTGTGTGTGTGTGCGCGCGCGCGTCTGTGTGTGTCTGTTTTTTATACGTTAATTGTGCAAAAACAAAGACGAATGTTAAATCATCAAGGAATTTTAATTTAATTTATATATCGATATTAAGTTATATTTAGACGCTACCTGACAGCAAATGATGAATTATTATTACAAGAAAACCACTCGACAAAATTCTCTTTAAATACTTCAAAGGGAATCGAAATTTTTCATTGGGTTTTTTGTTTTTGTTTTATTTTTCTTCAAATTGATTCTTTTAATTGATATCAATTAAAATATCCCTATTATTAATATCCAAATAATTGTCAGCTCAATTAATGTGTAAATTTGTAGTTAAATCTTAAGCAAGTTGATAGCGAAACATTTAATAATATAACTCGCTTTTGAAACTTTTATTCTTACAGCAAATCATAACTTAACGACTTGGAGTATGAAAATTTTATTAATAAATCTATTAGAAGGACATTTTATTGAATAGACGATTAATATAAATTACGGATATATACAAAGTTTGAAAGTTTATAAAGCTTAAAGTGTTTATTTGATCGCTAAATTTACCGGAAATAAGCTACTACTTCGTTCATGTACGTGTGATATTGAAATTTTGAAAATTTATAAATATTTGTAGTTACGGTGTGAATATTTTAAATGTAAAATTTAAACGCATATTGAATTTAAAATTGAGTTAAATTCCAAGAGAACAGTAATTTGAAATGTGCATATATATATATATATATATATAGATATTTTTTTTTTTTTTTTTTAAAAAAAAAGGCTGTTTGAATGTAAAAAGCATAATATCTTTTAATTATCAATTTTACTGTAATTTGAAACATGATTAAATTGTTGGTAAAACACGTTTTAACAAATAAATATATCGCAATAAACGAATTTCGGATTTTCTTGTGCAATATCAAATTTTCACTATGGAAATTATTAATTAGGTATTTGTGCCGAGAGGAAGAGTTGCTGTCGTTAAAATCACGTAATATTCTCATTCGACAACACGTTATCAGCAGCATAAAAGCGCCACCGAACATCCCGCAACTACAACAATACAATTGCTACTTAATTCTCACCTAATTCTCAATAGACAGTCAAAGCTTGTTCTTAAAAACGAGAGGGCAAATATCGATGATCCACCCATTACGTGATCCTCGACCTCCTAAACTAGTAAGATTGATTTTGATAAGCTAGCAAAGAATGGCATAATAGCGAGGGCGCTTTTCGCGACATCACGGTTCGCTCTTTTGTCTTGCGTGCGCTATCCCATAAGAAGACGAGGCAGGAAGAATAATGGAGAGGAGACTCGAAAATTCGTATGACAAAGACAGCGGTATTATCTATCGATAGCGATTGACGGCCGTTGAATGAATGCACGCTCCTAATGAATTTGAATTTTCTACAATAGTGAGTGAAAGGCCGAACACACGAAGGGTGATTAAAAATTGACGTTAAAGCGATAGCGATTACGATCCAAGCTTTCATTATTATTTTCAGCGCGTGAGTTTGAGCGTATGTAGTGTTATATACACATACTGTTAACTGCTTGGAAATTTGAATTGTCGAGGGTCTCTTATCAGAGAATAACATATGCCATCGTTCACGGGTGCTTTTAACTAAGTACGGCCGGGGAAAAAGGAAAGGAGTTGGTTTAGTGAGCAAGTACTTTAAATTTCGTTGGGAGTCGCTGATGAGGAGCTTTGAATAAAATGACTCACTAGTCGGTACACCTGGGTAAAAGTGATAAGTAGTGTGAGGCCAAGCCCAGGTAACACATTCATTTATCAATGAAATGTAAATTTGTATACCGTCGTTATTAAGGAAACAGTTCACGGTGAGGAATTTCGAGTGGCCAATGATCCCGTAAATACGAATTATCATTATAACATTCCATATACGCTCGACATTTCTCGGAATAAAAAATAACTAATTCGTACAATTACAAAGTAACGTTAAGCATTGTAATAATAATAATCGGTTGAAAGTATAATATTTAATTAGAAAAATGAATGATCGATGAGTAATTAGCAAAGTCATTATTGTCGAAGGAAATGATTAGTTTATCATTTTGGAAGAGAAAAAAGTATGCACAGATAAATTTGGACAGATTTTTTTTCTTTCTTTTTTTAATGAATCGAAGACGAAAGTATCGTCGAACTGATATGTAGAAATAAAAGATTATTAAGTATTTATGATAATATTCCACTAAAATATTAAATATTTTGTATAGATCTATTCTTTACTAAAACTTAAACGTACCCTGAATACACTTTATATTTTAAAAGCGAACTTTATAGTGTAAAATTACAGATTCTACTCGCATCCTGACAAACTACTTTAATCCTAAAATACGTTCCCTAAAACTTTATTGAAATTTTTTCTATTTTTTTTTTAAATTGTTGCCAAAGTTTTTTTTTTTTTTAAATTTTTTCAAAAAAACCTTTTTTTTTTTTTTTTTTTTTTTTTTTTTTTTTTTTTATATATTTTTGTTTTTCATTAAAAATTACTCATTTTTTATATATCAAAATATTTCATGTACGCGTAGCGTTGAATGAATTATAGAACAACTTGTAGATAAATTAATCTAAAGTATCATGTTGAGCGCAACAATTATCGGATGTTTTAATGTACTGACACAAGTAATTTTTGGCCCGATATAACAAGATGAAACTACAAAATGAAAACTTGTATGTTCATACTTGGATTTTTTTACGAGAATTATAGAACTTTTTGCAGTAGATTTTCAAACTCATAATTTCACGATCTAACTGACCCTATTTATAAGCACCGAGTCTCGCCAGATACTCAACAAAATCACTTCCTCGTGAACACGAATAGACAGACGTCGTTACTTTTTGTGCTTTCTCCCCCTTCCTTTAACTGTTCTTTTTCGCAGTCTCGCTCGCATCTCTCGCCACACACCCCCCTCTCACCCTCTCTTACTCTCTCACTCTCTCTCTCTCACTCTCTCTCTCTCTCTCTCTCTCTCTCTCTCTCTCTCTCTCTCTCTCTCTATATCGCCCCTCTCTTACTTGCTCTCATTTTTTCCTCTTATAACTTAGCTCTATTATCGTCCGGATAAAGTGTCTTCTTATAGAACTTATGCAGGTTGTAGAGGGATTTTCGTAATGTGTTGGAAAAAAGTATTTTTTTTTTTAATATTTGTCTGACGAATGACAAAATAATATAAATTGAAAAATGAAGTTTGCATAAATTAATTATTAATTGTGCATCAATTGCATTGCGTATATTATTTCTCAAATAAATAAATATTCTCCATCATTCACAATTTGCGTATTCCAATGTCTTTTAATCTCTCTTTAAAATCTCGAATAAAAATGTTTCTAAAAATAAATTCATCTGCGCCAAAACTCATAGAATACAATATTTTGAATTTAAATAACGCTTATGTAGAGTAATTTCATTTAATAGTCGAGTAATTTAATAAAACTATAAATGTAAATTATCAATATGGATAAAAAATCATAAAAATTCAATGGGTTCCGTAATGGATCTCCTTCCCATACTACATTCTACATGTATAATAATAATGACGTGCTACATTCAATTAATTTACATAACAATGGAAGCAATTTTATTTCGTTATCTGTTTTTCAACTGCAGATATGCTCATCCATTTATAATTAATAGACTTTTTTTCATAAACCTAAATTTATAAAAATTATTTTATTTCATGCATTTTAAAAAATATATAAGAATGTAAACGAATATTGAAACACGTATTATCGGAAAAAAGCTTTATTTATAAATAAGAGACTTCCAATATTTTTGAATTTAACAATTAATAATATTTTTAATATAAACAATTTATCATGAATATTAATATTACGCTTATGAAATAATATGTATTTTAAGTTAAGCTTGAGAACTTATTATTTCGTTAAGCTCAAAAGTCTGGCGTTTTTATCGACATTTTTGTCGATAAACATTCTAATCGGGCAACAGTAATATTCAAAATTATTATATATAATAGTATTAACATAATGTAGATTGTGTCTATTCAAGTAATTAAATCTACAAATCAATAATTAAAATCTGTATTTTGTATGTGTCCGAAGCCAATAAGAGAACGTTAAAAATATTAAGAAAATAATATTTTTAAAAATATTTAATTTTATCGGAGGTGGAAAAATTTGAAATATTACAAAACTGTTTTAACGCCTATAGCTTTATTTCCTCTAACCTACCATAATAATCGCATAATCGAAATTTCAAGATTTATGTTAATAATAACAATTTCATTAATTTTTTTCCCATTCAATCGTTCGTAATCCCATGATTATCAAGACTCGTTAAGAAACGTTTCAGAGCGTCACAGCAAATTTCCTCCTTAAAATTGCACAATACATGAAAATTCTTTACAAATACGTATAATGTGATAATTGCAATAATTAATAAAGCTGATTTCAATAGTATCGTCGCTCATCGGCAAATCCCACTTGAAGCTATGCAGTAGTTAGCTGTAGAGTCGTAAACTCCCATAGTCAGCAAACACATACTTATTAACCATAAACTTTGAGGAAACTGTATTAATACAAATTTACCAATAATCGTTATTATTTACCAATAATAACGAGCTGCGGCAACTTTGTCGTTTTGCAGATGTTCAGACCGGAATACAAGATTCACGACGTTAAATGTGTCCAGCCACAGAAGGCATCGTCCGCGCAGGAGAGTCGCTCTTGCTCGTCAGTCAGCACCCGCAGCAAGGACGACGGTAGCGAGGCGAGGCCGAAAAGTATCAAGCAACAGCAACAGGAACAGCAACAGTAGCAGCAGCAGCAGCAGCAGCAGCAGCAGCAGCAGCACCACCACCAACAGCAGCAACAGCAACAGCAGCAGCAGTGACAACGGCGGCGATGAGGAGGCAACCGGTGCACGAACGACAGCAGTAAAGGGGCGCGCAGACAAGAAACAACACAACCGACAGCACAAAGAAAGCGATGCCATGCAGACTCGTGTGGACTGGAAGTTGGTCCTGCTCTACACTTTGCTGGTCCTCCAGGTGTTTATCGTCATGGTCTACGTGGCCTCCACGCCACACGTCTCCGACATCAATGCACCCGCCCTCAAAGAAACCATCACTTTTGTCAGTTTCGAGTCTTCCCAGGTACGTTTTATCGTCTCGTTATTCCAAAATCAAGCGTGCGCACACCTCCCCCCCTCCCTCCCTGCCGCCTTTAGTTCTTGCGTAAATGTATCCAAGATCAATGCCCTTCTTCTTCTTTTTTTTTTACTTTGTTTCCACAAGATACTGTTACAGTCCTTTAATTTAATAACCAACTCGTTACTTGGCATCCTATGTATTCTAAAATGAAAATTTCTTCTTTCTCTTATTGTAAAATATTCTTTATTACGAAGACTATATGAATATAATAAAATTATGATTCATTTCAAATAAATTTATACGACTGTATGTAATGTATTAATTATAAATAAGTTATAATAAAGCAAGCTCTTCAAAAACAATATTTGCATTAACAAAGTTTTAATTATTGTAGAATTAGTATTAAATAGATAATTAAATTACATTGACTAATTAGCGAAACTTGAAAGTATTTACTATTTCTCTCTCTCTCTCTGTCTCTCTCTCTCTCTCTCTCTCTCTCTCTCTCTCTCTCTCTCTAAATACCTATCTATCTACATTTCATTGGACGGTCATGCAAAGCTGTCGTTTTAATTAAAACGATTGGCTCTTTAAGTGTCTATGGAGCCGTTTTGTGGGAACGGGTGGGCGCGAATATTCCGATTTTGGTATCCTCGAGAGGAATTTAAACGCTTACGTAAACGCTAAGCGCATAGCGACTCGCGTTCTTGGGCATTGAAGGTGACGGGTAAAGGAAGTATCAACGAGGCGTTAACGGAGAATTAACTGTCAGCAGGGCAATTGCTGCGCAAACAGGAGCGCAGTTCCGCGGACCATCACCGGGGAGATGAGCCTTCGCGAGGCCAAAACCTTCCGGATGTTCCAGGCGTTCAACGAGACACTCTGTTGGCGCGGGGGCGTGAACGAGCGTAGGAACAGACGCGAGGCGACGGAGCGGTGTGCTTGCCTCCAAGGCTGGCACGGCTCGGACTGCGGTCAGCCCGAGGTCGTCTGGCGCGCCATCATGGCTTCCAAGCAAAAGGTGCGTCTGAAGCGGCGCAAGCTCTCACGGCGTATACTACACGTCTTCTACGTGAACGATCACAACTCGGCTATCGCCGAGGTCATCGTCGAGGAGCTCTATCCGGTCGTCGACCTCTTCGTCGTCTGTGACTTCAGTCTCGCAGAGGACAACTTACGCCACAAATTGGGTAAACGCCAGGACTACCATATACGATGCTTCCCCCGATACTCCATCATAAATCTATAACCCTACCTCCTGCTTGCAAATTTGCGAACTCTACATTTCCGACGGGCCTTTTTCTCACGAAAAATTTTCTTTCCTCATCCAGAATACGCATACATTACCAATTTTTCTTCCTTCGTTTCGTCTTCTATTTCTTTTTTTAAGAAAGCTTTTGATTTTTGGACAAACAAACAACTACTGCTTCTTAGCAGGAGATGGGGCACTTCGGACGACGAGTCAATTGGAATTTATGTTGTCACGGTTTATTATAAATTATTCAGAAGGGAATTTCCACTTCCTTACTAAGAATTGATGGCATATTTCAAAAGCGTCAAACATTGATTTAATACACGAACAATAGCACTTTTCATATAATTACGTTTTCCATAGTGTCCTTCTAGCGCACTTAGATTGTACGGTAAATCGTGCATTTTATCTCATTCGAACAGTCAGTCGGTGTGTATCGATTAAGTTGTAAAATTATAAATGTAAGCCCTCGATAGCCAATATATGCCTACCAAAAATCAAATTCAGTTAAAGAGTTAATGGAGAATTCGAGGTCAAGAACTTCAATTATAAGCTCTTAATTTTAGATTGTCCTTTCGTTCTTAAATTACAATGTTTGGAATTAATAATCATTTTACTTAGAAAATTCTCTTGAGCGAACATATTTAATAATATTGAAAAACCATAAACCTCTATTAATATTAAGTAACTTCGCCATATCGTTGTGAAATGTGTCACATTGAAATAAAGCAAAAGACAATTATTGTATTTTCTTTTTACACACAACTAAGTATCGTACACGCTAATGCTACTTAATCGCTCATCTTATTGTAATTATTATTCTAATAATTATAAATTATCGGCATTAATAGAGTTTACATAAGTCATAATATTTTACAATGATTGGTTAATTGTCGCAATAAATTAGATCGATAGAGAACAGAGTGAACTTGCAACAGTAAGCCGGCAATTATGAAAAAATTAGAATATAATTCAATGTATATAATAGGCGAACGAGCTAATCGAACGAGTGACTAATAAAATGATTTTCCTTTCTGTGTTTAATTAGCCAAGGGCTTCCTTACCGAACAACAAGACAAAATATTGTACATTAATGTGGCGCTGAAAGCCAAAAAGCCAGCGAGAGTAATATCAAAATATGTTTGGGATAGAGTGAAGAAAGTTGTGAAAAATATCAGGGACGATGACATTTACGTTTGGACGGATGCCGAGCAAATATTGAATGCCAAGGCTTTGATGTTCCTAAAGATGTACGATGGTTGGCCACAACCCATTGGCTTCCGACTCAGGTGGTCCGTATTCGGATTCTTCTGGCAGCATCCGCTGAAAACAACGATAACCATTGGGGCATGCACCGTGGGACTGATGCGTGAGGCCCATCGTTTCAATTCCCTGGTCCTCGAGAAGGAGTTGACGAACGAAGTGGCCGAGAGGGAGACGCTTGGCTTGGTCATCGGGGATCTGAATCATTACGGTGGCTGGTATTGCCAGTTCTGCCAGGGTCCGGCCAACATTATAGTCGCGCTACGCGAGAAGAACAGAACGAAAGAGATGACGCTGGAGAGGAACGTCGACGTCCCCTTCGTCGAGGATCTCATCGGCACTGGAATGTGGTTCGACGAGAAAACCAGTTTGCTCAGAGCATACAAGTCTCGGGAGTCGTATTACGCGCCCGAGACTGTAATGAATAAGACTTGGAAGTACGACTGGCTGGTCGAGAACTTTTACGCCAAGATGGATTATTATTGAATGGACATTGCTGAATCACGACGCCCCCGACTGTGATATTAACTTGTACTCCAACTCTATCAGTGTACACTGCATATATGTATATCGAATTTATACGCCAAAATTGATGATACGTGTTGGCTCATTTAAACAAATCTGTTATAATTTATATTTTTTATGTAAAATAATTAACAAAGACTTATTAGGTCAACTATTAGATAGCTTAATTATTTTCTATATAAAGTTATGCTCGTTTCATTTAAGTTTTTAAGAGGCGAATGAATATTGTCTCGATTCGGAAGACTGTATTATTATTGTTTTGTATTTACAAGAGGTTTAAGTGATTTAATAAAAGTTGAAAATGATATTTGAAGTTTGTTATTACTTACCTATTGTGTTTCCAGAGGGCGAATGACGCAGCTATATATGGAATTATAAAGTACATGGATAACTGGTGAGCCTTCCACATGTCGCCCGATAGCTCAATTAAATTAAAAATAAGTATGCTCGTTGCGATGATTAAACTTTGTCCGACCTCTAATCCATTCACCCCGGCTAATATATTTATAGCGTTTGTACAGAAGACAGCGAGCATGCCCATGTACGCGTAATAGAATAACCACAGATCGATGGACAAACTAAAGAAAGCTCTAAAAGGCTTTGGAACAATTATCACAGTCGAATTAAAATTAACATAGTAAACCATGAGCAGTGGTAAACTGGCAATCGTTGGCAGCATTAGCTTGTGTCTCCATTGCAAGTCCAAAACATCATCGGCGAATCCCAAAAGCATCATACAACAAATAGAAAGTAACGCAGCCAGCAGCTCCACAAACTACAATAAATGAGAAATTTTCTGACATGTACATTTTGCGTGTATTCTTTTAATTTTTATGTAAAATTATATACTCTCTTCGCCTTTGTCGTCCAATTACGCAAAGATGAAATTATAAATCTCACGATTGTGCGAATGAAAATTTAAAATACAAATGCACAGACGCAAGTCGTCGAAAGATATCTTTAACATTAACGATATCGTGCCTCGACATATAAATGCTAAAATATAAATCAATCGAGGGCCTTAAAACGATGTCAATTGCTTTGCTTAACGAACATAAATTGTCTCTTTAATAGCGTACAAATTTCCTTAAAACAAAATTTGATCGCCTCTTATATTTGCAACGAATGCTCAATAATAGAAATGGCTATTTTTAGGTAATATAAGTGATTTTTTATCGCTTTACCTCGTTATGAGGGAAATTCACATTGTTAAAAATGTGATCGCCAAATGGTATTGGAATGAACAGAAACATTGTTATCAAAAAAGTACAACCACTAACGACACCCATTGCCTCCGGGCTAAAAGCAAACAGACAACATTGTTACAGGCATGCTCTCATTGCATTTACATATGCAAATATATTTATTAAAGAATAATATCAAGATTTTCAAAACTGTCAATGCATACTTACATTTTGACGAAATTCTTTTTATTCATATCAATGCCGCAAAGGTTAGCTTTCAGAAATCTTTCTTTTAAACGCGGAATCAACCGCACAGTTAAAAAATATGTGCATATCGACATTGTCACATTAATATATAAGGGAAGAAATTGAGCCAGCGATCGATCCATATCGCAATACTACCTGCAATAAATACTTTGTAAAGCCAAATGCATAGAGAGTGAGAAAAATATTTTAACGCGTGAAACCGCTTAAGATAATAGAAAATACCGTAATAAACAGAGCAGAGATTGAGAGATGTAAACGGCCGGAGAAACATCGTCACGATCCTCAAGTTATGTGACATCAGCTTTCAGGAACGCTAAGCTTTCGATCTAGCGCGCTTTATTAAATAATGAATTCGACAATTCTAACGCCTAGGTTGAGCAGATTACTCAACGAAAGTGAAATATTTATATTGAAAATTACGCTGATGATCATTCGTCGAGGAGTTCCAAGAGGCGCGCGAATTTTGCTACTTCGCCGGCATTGTCCAACCAAACTGTCCAACGATCGGCGCTACTAATAACGAAATTTCGTTCCAATCGATATTTAAATCCTCTTTAGGTAAACTCGGCGAATAAAGATATTCTAGGGGACAAAGTGTAAGCATAATATAAGGCATTGTCGCTCGTCGATGGGCTCGGTAACGTAAAATATCGGCCACTATATTCAGCTGCAAATAACGCGAACAATAAGAATTACAATACGTTGAGAGAAAGCTTTAACTTTCACTTTCACCCGACAAAATGATTCTCAGCAGACCGAGCACAGCTCTGACAATATCCCCGATAAATCCAACTCGGGGCACGCCTCTTATTAACAATAATGTGAGGATGGAGTTCGGCGCGTCGCGAGTCAAGTTCGAGGCAACGAGCAAGGCACGGAGCAACATTTTCTAGATTCGCGCGTCAAGAGTCCGAGGGTCGGATAAGTTGGCAGCAATTGGGCGTTGACATATAATTCACATTCTCATCGGCTGGGGGCTGCGCCTCGGCCTTCAACCCGGTATGACTAGACTAGGCCGTCCAGTCTCCGCGGTGCTTAAAAGAAATATGCAGCTTTGAGCGTCGTTGACGCCCAGGGTGTAGCGCTCGGTGTATTTGTTTACGTGGTTATAGAGTGGTGCTCGGCGCGGCGAATCAGTTCTTCCTTTATTATTTGATATAGGCGATCGGGGCTGGAGCAACGATGGCCATTAACCTGACTAAGAATAAGGACGCGCTGGTGGCCGCCTGGCAGAGCGGCGTTGACGATAAGTCGCCCACCAATTGGTAAGTCGAGGGCTCGATGTCTTGCTCTTGCATTATTGACTACTTGGACGTCTTGGGTTCTCGCTTGCGAGGACAATAACAACTGCCGGCCATTACGTCGCGAATTATGATTATTACCGATTATGATCGTGGATGGCGACGAGGCACGGCTCCCCTCTACAGAATGTGCCGAGTGTAATTGCAGTTAAGTAAGTGTGCAGGCCAGTCGGAGGAGACGAATGGCTTATCATCGTTAGGATACGGAGAGTCGCGAGCCGATTGTCCCCGTCGAAGCCGCCTCCTTTCTCGTTCATGTACTACTCTCGCTCTTTGTGCGCACGATGGATTTTATGAGTCCTCTTCGTTTTTATCCATTCCGCATGACTAAATTATTCATAATCATCAAGTCGAAAAGCAACATTTTGTCGTGTTGTTTGTCTTCTTTTTTCTCTCGCTTTTTATTTCTTAAATTAAATTCGTCGCGGTGAAATGGTTGTTCTGTACGGGCTCTAACGTAAGGCATTTTGCATTAAAGTCATGAAAGTTTACGTACAACATTACAAACATGGTTGCCATTACTATTTTGGGAAGATAAACATTGGTCAACACTGTACAATTCATTCGCGCAATGCGGTGCTTTAAACATCAATTACCTCAGCGTGCAAATGTTTATAAGCTAATAATTATTCAATTGTCAAAGTGCGGTGTTTAAATGAAAATACGCGATCTATCGTAATCGAAGGGGTTATTTTACTTTTGGAAGATAATGGGAGCGTTGACCCGCCGTAATAATCGGTGGAAATAATGGTAATTAAAATATCCTTATTTCCACGGTGATTTCAATTTTTTGAACTAATAGTTATTTATAGCCGACGTGGTCTCTTATTTTCTACGATAATTCAATATTTTTAACCTACCAAAATGACCATTAAACGTTTTTTTTTACGAGTGCTTCGAGTCAAATGTTGTGTAATTTATTTTTTAGGGCTGTGTATAGTTACGAGGGCCAAACAAACAATTTGAAAGTTGTTAATACTGGAAAAGGAGGATTAGAAGAGATGATCGAAGAATTGAATAGTGGAATGATAATGTATGCTTTTTGTCGTGTCATCGACATTAAAACTACTTTGCCAAAATGTTTACTTATCAATTGGGTAATACTTTCATTCATTAATTAATATCTATATTTGTGATATTTGTTGCATTTTATCTCATAAAATTTAATCATTAACGGACAAACAAATAAGAACTAAATTATATTTGTTTGTCATGGTTGTATGTATATATGTAGTTATAAACATATATAATATATAATTGTCGTTGTAGCAAGGCGAAGGTGCTCCAATTGTACGTAAAGGAACTTGCGCAAACCACATTAGAGATCTAGAGAGGTTATTGAAAGGTGCGCATATAACGATAAATGCTCGCTGCGAAGAAGACGTCGAAGTTGACTTGATAATGGAAAAGTTATCGCGTGCTACAGCTTCTGCTTATAAATTTAACGAACCTCGTGGTGAAAATGGAAGTCACACGGGACCTGTAGGAACTACTTATCGCAGGTTATTAAAGTTCATTGGAATTTTTAATTATAAAATAATCATTACATTAAAAGTCTAATGTCATGGTGTAAAAATTGACGTTCATTAATTTTATATATAAATGGATTATATAGAGTAATACCAGCTCAAGAAATTAATGCGAGCGAACGTGATCAATTTTGGCAACGAGAGGAGATAGAAGAGAAACAGCGTCTGGAACAAGAACGCATCCGTCAAGAACAAAACCGACGAAAACTCGAAGAAGAAGTTAGAAAACGCGAAGAAATAGAAACCCAATTAAGAGATCTAAAGGTATATCGAATCATTTCAATTTGTTCTATTAATTATGATTTTTAAAAGATTTTAATCTACATTAAAAATTTTATTAAATATTTCATTCGTCGCTTCGTTTAATATACCTGTAAATAAATAAATAGGTTACAGCAAAAGAAGGTATAGTTGCTAAACAAAGGCAAGCGGAGCAAAGAGCCGAAGAGATTAAGAACTTAAGAAACCAAAATATCGCTGCAAATGATAGAAACAGTGATTCGGACGATGAACCTAAATCTAGAAGCGACGAGTTGCGAAGACAAAGAAGCAAGGAAGCGCAACAATTAATTGCCCAAAGAATAATTAATGCAAGAGCAGTTTTTGAGCAAAATAGTAGCACTGGGCAAACTAGAACTCCTTTAATTCAGCATCATAAAGGTAATCATGTAGAAACTACGAAGAAAGCATTTGAACAAAATCATCTTCAGCATAATAAATTAAAGGAGACCGCTAAAATTGAGTGAGTATATAAAAAAAAATATTTGTCAATTCAATTTAATATAAAAATTTTAATGCAATATTCATCAAACTGTATGAATTTAACAGTATTATAGTAAATTTAATTTTTATACAGGAACAAATCAAATATTGAGATTAAATGTGAAAAGATACAACCTATTATACAATCACAGCCAAATTCTGAATTGCGTCAGCCAAAATCTCAGCAACAATTGCAAATGCAACCACAATCGCAATTACAACAGCAAATACAATTACAGTCACAATCACAAATACAACACCAAGTACAAGGGCAACCACAATCGCAAATACATCACCAAACGCAAGTTCAACCACAATCGCAAATACAACATCAAACGCAAGTGCAACCACAATCGCAAACACAACACCAAACACAAGTGCAACCACAACAGCAACTACAGGTCGAACCACAATTATCAGTGTCACAGCTGCAAAATGATTTACAAGTAAGACCAGAGGATGGTCCACAAATAAAAGAAAATTCTCATACCGAAAATATTATAAAGCAATATCACGAAGAAAAAACTAATGATATTCAACAAATACAAGAATCTGTAACTCAACAAACACCGATACAAAATATCGAAGCTGAGAATGAATTTTATGGTCAATTAGAAACTGGACAATATTTATATCTTGATTCTAACAACGAGGGAATGAAAGCAAGAGCTCTTTATGATTACCAGGCAGCCGATGATACAGAAATTACTTTTAATCCTGGAGATATCATTACGCACATCGATGATATCGATGAAGGATGGTGGCAAGGCTTAGCACCCGATGGAGTGTATGGGCTCTTTCCAGCTAATCATGTTGAAGTTATTGATTATGGTTCAATATGATGTGAGAAATTTATCAATCATTACTTTTTAAAATCATTGATATACTATGGTGAAATAATTCTGGAAACAATTTTTCATTTAATATTCATGACTATCAAATGTTTATTTATAATATTTCATTAGTGAGGAAGAAAGTAACGTATTGGACTATAATAATAGAAGTCGACTTTTTATGGAACATAAACTTTTAACCAAATAAAGCAAAATAAGAAAAAAGTTAAAAAAAAAAATAAAATTTGTATTCAAAACTGATAAAAAAAACATGGGACAAAATGTTTTTCGCTTAATGCATTGAAAGGTTAATTAATTATTTATAAACATTTCTATTTGACTATCAAAGTTTAGATGTACGAGATGATTCTCATCAAGAACTTAAGAATTTTTTACGCATTTTTAAGAAAATATGGGAATAAAAGTCATAGGCATGTTTACTTTCAATATTTATTAAAATATCTCTCTTGTTAAATTAATAATTCAGAATTTTTCATCGAGTTTCTAAAATTACTGCAAATTATTTCTTCCGTAGAATCCTGAATTTAACCCTGGGTAGTTTATTCGTTTCTATTCGATCACTTTATAGCTATTATTATTAATATTATTATTATTATTATTATTATTATTATTATTATTATTATTATTATTCTATAATTTAATGTTTTATTAAATACAATTGAACATAGTACATTCAAAATGAATATAAATATTCAATATAAACGTCTGATGTTATAAGTCAAGATATTGCACAGTTTACGTAGCTGAATTGTACTTAATTCAAAGAAATAATATATAAAAATATTCCGAAGCCATACCCAGTGGACAACAGTATTTCTCATTAAAGTCGTTGATCATTATGTCGAATTTAAAAGATCGAACTTATAAAATGTTCATGCCTAGGTTAAGATTTTTGTTGATAAATTTTAGGTTGTTTACATTATATATATATATATATATATATATATAATAGATTAAACAATTTTATAATCCGTTTTGTTTTGTTTTTTTTTTCTTCTTTTTTTTTTTACTGACGATGGTGCAATAACTTAATTCGTACTCGATTCAAGTCATGATCATTTGTATATATATTTTACATTTTGTTACAGTACTCGGATTGTTAAACAACTACTCAAAATAATATCTTATTTTTTGTTCCCTTCAAATACAAATAGTCAGGCGAATAAGTAAGAGTAAGCGCTCGCCTAAATTTACTTTTAGGTTTTAAGAAAATAAATGAACAAATCAATTTACATATACTATAACGTTTTTTAATATTAAGTTTGTGACATATCAATTTGTTTTAGAAATATCATTGATGAGTAATTGCTTTTAAAATTTTGTACTTTAAAATGGTATATAACTGTTGATTGATTTTTAAATGTATAAAAAAGAAATTGAATGATTGAAAGTGGTAAATTTAAAACAATAAGGAAAATCATTGTAAAAGTTATTGTTCTGTAATTTATTCAAAGTATTAAGAATGTGTATATAACGATTGGAAAGAAATTTCATTAAAAATGAAATTTAAATAGTAAATTAACAATCATAACTTAGCAAATATTATTATTTTTTTCACATTATCTTTCGTCTTACGATATAAATTATATATGAATTAATAAACTATGCATGTGACATGTTCTTTTCAAAGAAACATCGAATTATTAATCATGTTTATGTGTAAGAATTTTTAGTAAATAAAATATACTGCCACTATCTGAAATGTATTTACAATCTTATTTCTTCACAAGTGAAAAATAAATCATTGAATTACATATATATACCTACATAAAATTATTTTACAAAAATAAATAAAAATTATTTTTGGTAAAATAAGTTAAAACATATTTCCGATATCCTAAATTTCATCATCGATTAATTTAATTAAATAGGAGATGTTTGGTTTCAATTTTATTAAAGAAATTACAAAATACTCGAGAACTTAAAAATGATAATATTTAAATATTCATCTTTAACTATTTTTTATAATTCTTAGATTTTCATTTACTATCTTATATTAATAGTATCTCTTTAATCACATTTTCACCAAAAATTTAATTACATGTATTATTATGTTCATTAGTGCAACAACGCGTTTTCTTCATTATATATAGAAAAAAATGGACTTTGTACAATTTGCTTACTTGATCAATCGATGGTTTTTTTTTTTTTAATTTTTTTTTTTTTTTTTTACTGACAATAATTCTAACGTAATTCTCCTTTGTGTCGTACATTTTGCATAAAATGTTTTCTTATGTTTCGTAGTACATACATGTTTGCATAGCAGACAAGGATGCATTTCGTTACTTTGAAATCAATCCATCATTTATGCATTTGTATTGTAATCAATAATTATTTCATAAAATGTCACGAGATAGAACTATAACGTTCTGTATAAAGAAATAAACGTTATTTTCTTCATGAATTATAAAAAAAAAATATTAAAACATAAATAAGGAGTAACATCGACAGCAATGATTACTATTTTTTTTCTTTTTCTTGTTTTTGTTCTTTTTTTTTAAATGAAAATATTACTTAAATGATTATGCATAAATTTTATATTATACATTTAAAAAAACCATCTACTTTCCTAAATGATCATACGCAACGCTTACTACTAATTATACACTGCAATGTATAAAGCCATTCGTCTTCATACTTTCTGTTTAAAATATACTTCTTTTATAATTCACTGCAAAAATAAACTCACTTCAGCGAACGATAAATTAAAGCACACTATATCGAGTCACTTTCACAAAAGAATAACTTCAGAAGAAACACTAAATCGTCCACCTCAAAGTAACGAAAAGCCATATAGGCTCGTTCTTCTTCAGCACATTGAAGAATAAACGGGGCTACGACAACGAAAGTCTCGTTACTCTAATGTTCACGTATTTCTCTCCAATGTAATAGCAAGTGGAACGTCATTAATGATTTCCCCCGCCGGCGTCGCCGGCTCCACCGTTACCCGCGTGACTCAGAAACGCGAGATGTCCTTTGGGGCACTTGTTCGCGTAGTGGCCCTTACGACTACACTTGTAGCACGTGACCTCTTCAAGAGGCTTCTGGGGTCCACGGGGACCATCGCCACGCGGTCCATTATGCATATTGACGCGATGATGGGTGTCCCCACCACGGTGATACTCTCGGTCCATTTCCTGGCGCACCTGTTGCTCGCGCATATCTGGCGGCATTTTGTTGCAGTAAATGGCCTTGTGTCCGCTTTCCCCACAAAAGTGGCATGTGATCATGACTTTTTTTCCCTCTTTTGGCTGCATATCCTGAATGGCTGGCAATTCGAATCTTGGACTGAAAGCGATAGCATTTATATGTTAATAGTGCCTTAGGTCAATAGGAGAACAAACTTTATACCTTTCTTGTATTAATGATAATCTATTGTACAGAGCGAGAAATTGGTAAAATTAATTTGGATAAAAAGGTTGAATGCCTTGTTAATTATTATTACGCGCAGTACGAAAATATTAAACATCAGGGAAAAAAGGGGCGTCGAAAATATAATTTAATTTCCCGAGCTAATAATACTAACTGTAGTGAAAACAATTGCTTACTGCATAAATTTACAACTTGATCCATCTGGACAAAATCCAGCTAGATATGCCATACATAAAACACGTCTAACGTGTCTATGACGACATAATGGCCCGTGTCTGCAAAAGCCCCTATCGTACCATGGACAATCGCGTACTTTAGTCTCAGGATCAATGTGTAAAAATGGACATTCTTTGTTGTGACACGCATCTGAAAAGAACATTATCGAAAATTATCTTTCAGTCGATATAGATCCTTCTTCCAACTGGTACTATAAGCGTCGTATTAAAAGCTACCACTTACTGAAACGAGAATAAAAATAACATTCTGGCATTTTTGTCATGTCGTATTCGTGCAAAAATTCACACTGATCGCCTTTTTTGCAGAGACCTCTCAACCAGTGCTTACAAACAATTGTCCTATCGCCACGAACATGTCGGAATGGACAAGCAGCTCCTTTCGAACACGTACCTTTAGGGTAAAATTGACAAACTGCTGCAACAGATTCTGCAAATACAATTAATAACATTATCTTCGTGAAACTAGTATTGTAAATTATAGTATTACGATAAATAAAAGAAATGAAACAAGTTAGTAAACACTGAGTAATAATAACTTAACAGCGTCTCATTGACACATTTTCTGAATTACAATTAGAAATAATAATAAAAAGAATATAAAAGCCGTAAATTTTAACAAGAATCAAAACTTTTTATTAACGTATACTTAAGAATCATTGTAAATATTATGGGGCATAACCTATAAAAATGTTAAAAACTAAAGTTTACTTACTGTCCATTCCGGTAAATGGTAAGGGTAAAGCTCCATATTGTTCGTCTAATGCAATTTCAATGTCAAAGCGCATGTGATCCACATTCGCTACTATACACTCCATTATTAACAATTAATAATTAAACTCTAGAAGAAGAAAAAAAAAAATGTTAACTACATACATAACCTAGAAAACGAAATCAAAATCACGCAAAAGACGCCATTATGCCGACAACAGGGCATCCAACGTCGACGATTCAAAGATACTTTGCATTTCGCAACTAGAGCGGCCGAAAAGGTAGGCAGAGGAAAATTGCGGAGCCCAATGTGGAAAAAGGCGGCCGAACGATCCTTACCGCCGCCGTTACAAACAGCAATGCGAGAAAATCGCAAGGGGACGGGGTGAGGTGCGCCCGTGTGCGTGTGCGTGCGCGCACACATGCACATTTATCCGACTGAGCGCATGGATGGAGGAGTCAGGTAATTGGAATGAGATTTAAACAGGGATTAATTAGCCTACGGAGAAATTCGTTTCGTTAACGATATCCTAATATTGCGTGGACATATGTCCATGTCATTCGACGACACTTTCGACCTTTATGAATTACGTAGTAACGAGAACAAAGCTACGTCGATGAAAAATATTATTTACGACAGTAATAAAATATTACCGTAATCATCCAACTGCCTAATTTCAATCGAGTATCCCAGTAAAAGTCAGGAGCAACTATTTTATTAATTTAAATGAGCTTTATGGAATATTAAGGAGTGCTATCCACATAAAATTTCAAATAACGAATTTAAGGTAATAAAATAAAATAGCCATTCGCAACTGACGCATAATTATTTATTATTTATAATATCACTACGCATACATATCGTTTATTACTAGAGAAATTTTGTTTTATTGTATATTAAGAGGGGCGTACATTAAGGGGCATTAGGATGTAATCTAATCTAGGTAAAGCCCGAGCCACCTTAATGAATTCCGAGTATTTAATTAATACGAGGATATCGTGTTTGTGGAGTTAAAGAAAATGAGTTGAGACTTGATAGAATTGGGACACATTCCGTAATTTTAATGTAATTGTAAAAAGAAATTAATTTCATTCCACTTTAAAAATAAGTACTTGATTTACGTATATAAAGCGATCGATTTATCATGGTGAAATAAATCGTCACTTTAAAATAATTAAAGAGAAGATGTAGATTGTTTTCTCTTTCAAAAACAAAAAAAAACATTCTATTTTTTTCTTTTCTTTAGTACTCTAATGGAGAATAAAATAAATACCGAATAATAAAGAAATTAAAGTATTATCAAATAAATTCTTGAATGCGTCTCGGATAAATAAATAAATAAAAATCTGTCCGTGAAACCGTCATATTATATTTAATAACTATTTGTTGTTTTAATAACCTCGATCATGAAAATGATACACAAAAAAGAAAACAATTTTAAAATTGGTGAAATTCAGAAAAATGAAATGTAAAAGGATTATCTAACTAATGTAACGGAAAATTATAAATAATATCTCTCCATAAGAGACAAATTGGCTAATATTTCTTAAAATTCATGTCGATATTACCGCTATTGAATAAATTAAATTTTCAATTTAATTTATTTTAACGGCTAAATGACACTTGATTACAATGATAATGCTGAATTATTTCCATTTCGATTAAGCAATTAAACGCAATTATGCCATAAAGTTTTGATAATCCTAAACACATCGTTTAAAAGTCATTTAAAATTATAAGGAAATATATGTTTGATTTCGTAAAAGTATAAAGTGTTTCGCGCTACAAAAGCCAAGTACTTGGGAATTAAGTCGATGATGTCGATTGCATACAATGTCGGCACCATTCACAATTTCACGCATCACAAGTGGCCTCTTGAAACATTTTCTAAACAAAAGGTTAATTATAAGGATTCTATTAATTTAATGTGCGGACTAGCGTCAGTTGGACATAGCGATACTTTTAACGATTAGCGCCAAAATTTCGCAATGGCCATTAGCGATCGATCGCTTGTTTAATATCCGCATTTTTCCTCCATTATGGACGTATGCAAAAACCGCCAATATCACATAAAATAATGTTCACGTGATATTAGAAACTCCCTATTCGCGATAAACTTTTTATTTCTATATTCTATAAAAAGATAATGATTTTATGAGCATATTTATAAAACATTGTTAATCGACTTTAGTTCGCAGTAATTGAAATTGCTGAAAAATTAAACAATTAGAAAGCTAGGCTATTGTAAAGTGTTTAAATTATAATTTTAGTTAAAAATTTACGGTAAAAGTAAGATTTAACGAACTTTCAAATAAAATAAAGCTCTTATTTAAGAAAATGTATTAATCGATATGATATTAATTAATAGTAAAATTCCAATACTTGTAAGCATATTTATTAAATATATTAAAACCCAATTAGTTTCGTTATCACTTTTGCTTTCATAACAATATAAATCTATTAGATTTATATATTTTTTCTTTTTTCTTTATTCGTAACGTGTATATAAATTCTAAGCTACAAAATGCATTGCAAAATATTTTTTCTTAAATATGAAAAGAAAAACTCTGAATAATCGTTAATTAGAACATGTAAATCATATTAATGCAGATATGCATAATTTCGCATAATCGTATCATCTTCATCAGCCACTAAATAATCATCAACGGCGCATACATAATTCGTTATATTATAAAACTTCGCCACAATACAAAGAGGCAATGCATTGTAAAAAATATTTATCCATAAAGACTGATAAACATTTAACATTTCCGCACTAGGATTATTACGAGTTGAATACGAAAATCAAAAATGAAAAATTTAGATGGCGCTGTCACGTAGGTTATAACATTCCGAAGATATTTTCTATCTACTCATCTGCATATTCAATTTGGTCAGGATTATTTTTATTATCTCATTTATAGTAATTTAAATCTTACAGTATAAGCTAATTTATGTTAATTTTAGTATTTACCTCGTATCAGTTGGTTATAAGTGCTCATTCCATTATTATAACTTGTTGTATTTAATCTATTTTAATTGATAATTATGGATATTTTGGCACTGGACAACAGAGTTCTTATTCTTTTAGCATATAATGAAAATGAAAATTCAGTGGAAACTTTGACTAATAAAATAAGAACTTCTATTGGCAATTCAGGAGAAATATTTTTTTCCAATTCAAGTAATTTATGCAATTGTAAGTAGCCTTATTTATCAATTATAAAATTGAAAAAATAACAACTTGATGCACGCACACACGCACACACCCACAACCTTACTCATTCAGGTAAACAGATGCATTATTTATTGCATTACTTATGTTATTAGATGATTCTTCATCGGTTGATGTTATTTTATCAAGATATGAAATTTCTTATGTTCGTAATGACGATGTACTAAAAGAGGCATTGCGGATTTTAAAAACAGATGGATATCTTGTTATTCATGAAAAATTAAATAAAAATAACGACACAAGTTTGAGTTATCAAATAACAAATTTAATTATTAATGGATTTGCGGTAGTAGATGGAAAAGCTAAATCTATTACGCTAGACAATGGAAGAAGTGTATATGAATTAGTAGCGGTAAAACCGTCTTATGAAGTAAATAAATCATTTGTATAATGTGATATATATTTAAAAATATTATACGTATATATATATATATATATATAATACATTATATACAAAACTCTCCTATTGTTTAGATTGGGTCCTCCGAAAAAATTTCTTTTAAAAAACCAAAATCCGGTGTTTGGAAAATAAGTAATAGCGACGATGAAGATTTAATCGACGAAGAAAATTTGTTAGATGAGAATGATATTTTAAAGCCAAATGCTGATACGTTAAAAGGTAAAGATTATCCTTTAATTATTATGAGATCGTAATTTTCAATTTTCAAAAATACAATTTATATAATCAATACGATGGTATATTTCATGCCTTCATATGCATTTAAAGTATGAAGAAAAAATTTTTTGAAAATTTTTGTGCAATGTTATCTTTACAATATAAAATAAAATATTATTATGCATTATTTTAGAAAAGATGAAAATTTTTCCAATATTTATTGGTTCCTTGGTAATTATTTAAAAATTATTTTCGCTGTAAAGTTTGTAATATACTTAGTTGTTTCATTTAAATATGCAATCTCAATATATATTATTTGCCAATTATAACCTACAAATAAGTATGCAACAGTAATTCAAGTAAAAAATAATATAAAATTTTAGTTTGTGGGACAACCGGTAAACGTAAGGCGTGTAAGAACTGTTCATGTGGCTTAGCGGAAGAATTACAGGGGGAAACTGCATCTGAAAAACAGCCACAATCGTCATGCGGTAGTGTATGTACAAACTTAATATAATCATATCAAAATACAAATTATTTTTTTTTGCATGCGAATGCTTTAAATAATTTTAATAATAAAACAATGCTACGAGAATTTGAATTTTGCTATTATAAAATTAATCGTAGCCAATCATTAAATATTTTCTAATGTTACAATAAAAGTTTTAATATAATTTAATAATGTAGCGATGAAAATTATGACTACAGCATATTAAGCTAATTATGTATGAACGTAGAATTATAATTATTTGATATTTTTTATTTTCAAATTGGTATAAAGCAACTTGTATTGTTTTTGCAGTGTTATCTTGGAGATGCTTTTCGTTGCGCTACTTGTCCCTACCTTGGAATGCCAGCGTTTAAGCCTGGAGAAAAAATTATCCTTCCCGATAGTCAGCTACAAGCGGACTCGTAATTGTATGCATTTTTATAATTAAACCATCGTCTCGCATAATTATATTATTTTAATGAATAATAATTCCATAAGCTATATTTATATAATGAAACATAGTAAAATTGTAAAAGGAATAGAATCTAAGGATTTAATGTGCTATTTTAAATAAAGAAGAATAGAGTTAGAAGATAAAGGCCATTTTATTAAGTGTTTTTATTCTCGTTATATTTACAAGTGATAGTATTTTTGTCATCTTATGCTACGAGAAATAATCAATTATTCATAGATAATGGCTTCTATCTACAGGAGAACTTAAACAAATGTTGGTATACGAAAAAATTGAAGGATTGATTACCTCTCGCATTACAAACATATGAGGAATATATCCCTTTCACCATAAAACCACTATCGCAACTCTGTGGATGAGTGTGTGGGAGAGGGCTATTTTCCAGCACGATTCTTAAGTTATTCTATTTACCTCTAATAAACAGGAACCATAAGCAATACTAAGGCAATCAAACAATTTTTAATAATACTTCATTGCAATAGTTATTAGACTAAAAATCTATGATTACATTTATAATCATAAGCATAAAGAAATAAAGACATTTGTAAATGTATTTAAATTTTGCTTATTAAAATTATAATAGTGAGATTCAAAATATAAAAAAAAACAGAAATTGATTTATTGCAATAGTTTTTGGTCATGAGTCCTGCTAATAAGTTCTATTGGCATAAGTAGCAGTGACACCGATAGGCGCTGAAAATTCATGTTGCTTGTAAAGGTTTGTATATCGATGTAACTAAAAAATTTATTTTAGTAGGAAATAAATGATATTGGTTATTTTGTCATTTACAAAATTAAAAGAAGGACGTAAATTCGCTTTTAACTAGTACCATTAGCACCGTATTAAAAAATTTATTTGCCTTTCTAATGGAAGAATATAATTTGTAATTTTGTATAGAAGATTTCAATTATCTAAATAAATTTTTTTTTTTAATTTTACAAAGTGTATCTTGTTAAAACGAATCTAAACTAATGCATACATATATATGTATATATATATATATATATATATATATATATATATATTATAGGCAATTTAGGTATTTAAAAAAAAAAAAAAAAAAAAAAAAAAAAAATTAAAAAAGTAAAATCAAATACATTTACCGAATGCATAAAAATCTTATCTGTTTCGGTAGATTTTTAACAATGGTTACAAAAATTTCTTTTTAATTTATTATAATTATTATTTTCTTAACTAAATCCGTTAAAATGTAAAATATTGTGTATACCAAAATATCAATTACTCAGTTATTTTACATAAGATTATATAATTGAAATCTTTTATTAAATACGAAAAAGTATTTATTTAGGCAGTATACATTGAACTCTAACAAAACTTTCAAGGCCTCATTTAAAAGTTTCAATATTTGTATTCAATAGTCTATTCAATAGTTGTAGATTTATTTGTTTTTCGATTTATGCCTTTGATCAACATTAATTTTATTTCACTTCTCACACGAATATCGATTTAATGAATTATACACAAAAATGATTTATTTTATACATTTACTTATGCATTGTACATACGCAGGATGGATATATATTTTTGTTGTCATGTACAATGTAGTACAATGTAGAGAACCATTTAAAAAATAATCAAAACTCATTACATGTTATTTATGAAATGGTATTATTATTACGTTATGTCATTCTTATAAATTATTTCTTTTTTCTCTCTTTTTATTTATTTATTTTTTTTTTTTAGCTTTTAATATAGGAACGTTGATATTACGATAAATGATATACTGAAAAATTAGTAAATAAAGATATTCTTTTACACTTTGGATTTTTAAAACTGAATATTTAACGAAAATTTTCCTATGATATTAAACATATTGATGAGAAATTTATATACAATAAAATATTTATTTTTTTTTTTGGTGATAATTTAAATAAATTTAAATCTTTCCTTGCAGATATATATGTACCTCCCTAGTTATGTTTGTGATAAATTTAATAAATTTTAATTTTTCAGTAAATTTTCTTTTTATTTAATTTAACTAGAATGTCATGCAATCGATGATCACTGTTTCAATGGACGATTATTAATATTCCGCTACAATATGCAATTAATTTAAATGTATAATAATCGCCGTACGACTTGCCGTATGAGTGCATTGAAGCTTGTAGTATAAATATTTTGCACAGTATCACTTGAATAGGTTTTCTGATGCAACTTTTGACATTATAAAAGTTTATATAGTATTCATTAGTTAAAACATGTCCTATTACGAGGGCAGGATAATCCGTTTTTACGCGTATATACCGCGAAGAAACTCAGACATATACTTGTTTTTCCATGTCGTTACTTATGTAAATTAGTACTCCATGCGAATTTGACTTTGAAACAATGAAATATTTGTAAATAACACAATTGAAATGAAAAGCGTAATTTCAAAAATTTAATGAAATTTAACATTCTTACAAAGGACTGCATAATTTCCAGTCGATTCTATTGATAATTATATATATATATATATATATATATATATATATATATACATACTTAATTCATTCTAGCACATCGTTCAAAGTTTTCGGGCAATAAAAGTGTTCGCTTCTTATCAAGATATTTTCTAAAACTTTTTCATTCCTTGTAAATTATTATTGATAAATCAATTTTTTTTTCTCTTACAAATTTTGATTCCATGTACTTTAATTGAAATTGAAATTTCTATATAAGAGATTTTAATACTGTGATTTTAACTTTGATACTAATAATAACAGTTTGTCTTACAGTTTGATAGGATTGCCGATAAACATAATGGAGATAATTAATCGTAAATTTTATTATTGCGCTCGTTGTAAATTGTGTATGAAAGTGGCACATATTTAACGCCATTCCAATAAAGTTATAATATATCTGTTTGTGGAGAGCCATTAAAGATAAATTAAAATTTGACCGCTTAATGAGCGAAAAAATATGAGATTTCTTCGTCAAACTCGACCTACCGTCCCATTACTCTTTCCTTCCTTCATTATTTTTTTATTCTGTCAAATATGCTCTTAATATGACGGTTAAAAACTTAAATTAATAAATCATGATTTATATTACTTTTTTACTGGCGTAGAAACTTGATCTGTTAACTGTTGCAACTTTGTCACTTTGGTCCTAGCAGACTTATACATTATATGAACACGCGGTGATTGGTTTATAAGTTTTTTCCTTTTTTTTTTTTTTTTTTGTTCTTCAAAATTTGAAATATTAAAAGCCATTTAGTATTTATAATGATACGAGAAATATAAGTAGTAGAATCTATTACCGTACAGATAAAAGAAAAATAATTTATCTAGAGGAACTAAGAAATGATTGGTTTTATCACTCGTGGAATTCGTTTTAATAACTGACTTACTCGTGGCCATTGGATAAATAAAATATGTAAAAACAAAAATAAAAACGATTTCATATTTGACATGCACGGTCAGCCTATAATTCATAATAAAGCCTTGTAATCTCAGCCCCTAGTTAATTACCAAATATTTTACTTTACTTTCCAAACATTCAAAGAGAAAATACGATTACGATAATCAAATATCGATATGAAATAATACGTTCCTAGATTCGCCATTCGTTATGACTTAATGCACACGAACGAATATGTAACAATTTACAAAATACAAACATACATTGCAATTGTAATTGGGCAATTTAATTCAATGAATTGATTAAACAGATTTTCACTTAATTGTCTGATAATTAATGTTTTCCCTTTTGTCTTTATTAAAGGTATCCATTAAGTATCTCATTATTTCAATATTAAGTACTGCGATAAAACAAATTACGAGTATCCTTTTTTTTTTATTTTCATTTAAATTCAACAAAGCAATTTACTTGCACTTCCTGATACGTAAGTTTTGAAAATCTTTAGTTTTCAATTTAAAAAAACAAAAAAAAAAAAACAAAAAAAAAAAAAAAAAAAAAAAAAAAAAAAAACAAAAAAAAATAATAATAAAATAAAATTTAAATTAAATTAATAAAATAACAACGATAAATAACTGTATATTTAATTTGACTAAATATTTAAAAAATTATCATAATAGTTCGTAGTTGCCAAACAATTAAAATGATTTATCAAGGGGCTGAATGATTTTACAATAATCTATATATGCACATAATTTGTAACAACAAATTGTGTTCGATCACATTGTAATAACAAAGTTGTTTAAAAAAAAACATAGAAGAAAAGTGCCGAGATTAAAAGTTAAAACACTTCTCTGCAAAGCATTTTTCTACCTTAGACAAATATTTTCTTAGGTCAGTAGAAATTATCAAAATAAGTAACTATGTCTTTGAAAGAGTAAAAGACTCTGCAAACTTTGTCATTGCTCAATATGTAAGCCTTTGGTTATCAATCAAAGTTCTTCTTATGAATTTTCGAACAAATTCGAATGTTGTCCCAGCTATTGAAACTTTAACCGGGCATCAACAACAATACTTAACAACAGTTTATCGCGGCGAGCCGCGAAATTGCAGTCTCCATGGGTCGCTAAGAAGTCGAGCAGTCTGTGCTAGCACAAGTTACCACCGCATTCCATGTGGTCCAGCAGCCCATTTTTCTCCTCTTTTTTTACACCGCTGGTTCTTGCGTTCGACGAGCGCAATTTGGGTTCGAAACACGGCTGCAAAATAGAACAAAGCGACTGCTGATGTAGCCTATATATCGACTGTCGGAAAGTTCTTTTACTTTTATTTTCACACTCTTAAATAATTCAGATCACATGTGCCAATCTTTTTGCATATCTCTCATTTTCAATACTTCTTTTTTATACTAGTAATCTGTATAATTAACGAGACGGTTCTTACACATACATACAATGCCAATGAATGCATGCGCATGTACGTACGCACGCATTTTCAACATAATTGGAAATAAGTTTCTCAGAAAATAGTCTGCTTCCTAAGAAATTTGTATTAATAAAAGCGTAACTTAAACAAAACAAAAACAATGAAAAAAAAAAATAATAATAATAAAAAAAAAATATATATATATATATGTATAAGTAAGTACATGCATAAAATAAATAAACAGTCAATACGACAAGCGATTAATACAAGACAATTTATATTCAATTAATCGGCTGGTAAAATTTTTCCGCTAGCTAATTAAAAAAAATATTCATAAGTTATAAATAATTAATGTTAATAAAACTTATGATTTCAATGGAAGATGATGGAAGTTACGGATAAAATTAAACATAATATGGAAGCATGTAGATTTATATTAGTATAAAAATTAATTTTCTTAATTAATTTTAATTGATGAACTGATTATAGGTGCAACAAGCATTATACATTTACATTAGATAGGATAAAGCTACGTAAGCAAAATTAAATAAATATTTCTCTTTTAAAGACAGTAAAAAAAAAAAAAAATAAAAAATAAAAAAAAAACAAGAAAGAAAAAAAGTCCTAAAAATATTAAAGATTGTGTTATTAATGAAAATACAAATGAGAGAAAAAAACATCACAGCAGATAAGAAAATACTGTAAGAAAAAAGGTTACACGAGCCATTATTTGGCCCATACTTCTCAAAAGCATTTAGCAGTACTGTCTAAGTAAATATAATCATATAATAATACAAAATTACAAATAAACTTTGTAATAAATTATATAATTGACATGGACATAATATTAACAAACAATAATCAGTGCACTTCGTATAAACGTGTTCATGATGATATTGGAGTAATTAAAAATCTTCAATTTATATTTCAATTAAAATATATATGTTTAAAAATTGTTCTTATGCCTTTATAATACTGAAGCGTATATAATATTTTTATAGACAAAACGAACAACTATATTCGCGACTAAAAATTTGTTCAACGAGAATAATCGAAAAACTTTGTGCATTATGCATTCATTAATAATCATTTGTAATTATTTGTATGGAAAAATTTTGCATCACAATATGATATGGTTGAATTGTAATAATGCTGCACGTTACTCCGAACTGTGTTTTTCTCATCTCTTTTTCATTTAGCAAAAAGGCATATTAAAATGCTTATTAAATAAAAATATACTCTTATTCTAAATTAAGTCTTAGCGATAGTAATTAGTTTATGTGATAATAGTCTTGTCAAGTATTGCGTCCGATTATAATATATAATATAACGTAATGAATGCGCGTTACGGGATTGAATAAAAGTGACTGGACAGCCGGCAATAATAAATATTTGAATTAACATCCATGTCGACTACATGCATAACAATGAAACATACAATTATGATTATAATAATGGAAAATATATTCTTTATATGAAAATATAGTGTTGAAAGTCTTTAAAATGAATTCTAAAACTTAATGTTCGAGACTATATTACGAAACTATACATAAAGCGGCCGAGGGATCTGGGAATTCAACATGGTTTCTCGATAAAAAGTGCTTTAACCGATTAATCGGATCATACGTTCGCCAATGAGAAACACAAAAGGAAGGAAGAAAAAAGGTTAAATGCAGATGTGCAACTCAGTGTGCAGCGAAGAAAAAATTGTTCTTGCACAATCCTCGCTTAGCGGAATAATGGACTCACTGTTTCGCAGATATTCATGTTACAGCAGTTTTCTATAGTTATTTCGCACTGATCGCCAGACATTTGCGAGGGCCTCGATGTTAGGGGCGTAATGCCGCTCTTATTGACGACGAAGCGCTTCTTGATTCGCGGCCTGCGGCGCAATTTGCTTACGTAGACGCTTAGGAACACGATGATGATGGTGAGCATGCCGATGAAACCCGAGAGAAGGGACACCAGGATCGTGCAGTTGAAGGCATCGTAGTCCAGAACTTCCTCGATTGTTTGGTTCAATTCAGCACATCTGCGAAGCGTTCGGATATTTGTAGTTTGGGAATGCGAGTCTGTCTGGGCTACTTTCATCGAGTGAAAATATCCATTATAATTATTGTAGATATTTTTTTCTCAACGATAATCGAGTCGTTGGCCTTTAATTTACGATATTCAGAACTATATTTGTTCCTTGTTTTGCTTTTTTTTGGCCTTTTAATTTCTATTGTCGCTATTGCTCGTGGAAAGCGGTAAAGATTGTAATACTTTGAATGTAAGTTGAAGTTGTGGTCCCAAAAATAAATTTTCAAAATAATCGCAAAAATTCGTTTATGCATCATCAACTTATCCCTCACACACTCACTCTTTCATTTAAAATACCGTACATTTTCTATTAACTAACATCCTCGCATTAAGTGGATTATTTATTATTTCTTTTCGACGTATGACGAATTGTAATAAAATTAAAAGAATTAAAAAAATTAAAAAAAAAAAAAAAAAAAAAATACATCAGTTCTTTGTTTATTAAATTTAATAATACTTTTAAAAGGCAAAGATCGTATCTTATATATATATATATATATATATATATATATATATATATTTCGTAGGATTGAGTGCGTGCATCAAGTATTTAATTCGTTTATAATAATTCAATGCTACGACTATGGTTAGCTTTGTCACAAACAAATGAACGCGAGCCTTTGATTAGTGAAAATTATTAAAATTACCTGCACGATGTGGTGTCTATGCTAGTTATCTGAAGTTGTCTATTGATACAATATAAAGCACAAATTTCTGCCATGTCAAAGGTAACTTCACATCGAACCCCACTGACATATTTACACTCGCAAGAGGGTTTGCCATGCTTATCTACCAAGCACCGACCATCGTTTAAGCAAAAACCATTGCAAACGTCGTATTCGCACCTTGAACCACTGTGTGGCGCACTACATTTACACACAGGCATTCCCTTATTATCTACGTAACACTCTCCCCTTACACAGTAATTATGGCACGAAGAAATTTCACATCGTGACCCACCGTACCTGCAAATATAAGAATATTGGACTGAATAATCTGGGACCGTTTTACACAAACGAGCGCGCATTTATTCAATAATCGTGCTCAACGCAAACGAATTCATTAGTTAATGGAAGTTTTTGAAATTTTTGTGGATTAATAATTTAAGAGCCCCGTGGTTTTTAATTGGAAATTCCGAAATTTTCTCTACCTCGTATTATGACGGATTGACCATTCCCTTATATTCATTTGGCTATTAATTTTTCATAGATAATACGTTGCCTTAAAGCTAAATTCTCTAATTTTATTTTCATCTTCTAACATTGATTAAGAAATATTACCGACGTCGGTTCAAAACACTCGATCATCGCATCGGCCAATAATAGACAATAAAACGAATTCGATAATACATATCATTGCCGTTTTTCACATCATAAAGTAATCGTTTATGAATAATGATCGGCATGCATCGGCAAAATATCACTATCGCTAATAAATTCAATAGCAATTTCGTCATATTATGGATATTTTCAGAGGATTCTTATCAATATCTCGTATCTTCGAGACTCGGAAAGTATAGAACCAAGTACTTACCCAGATTTACACCGACAGCTTCCATCGCTCGATTGCAGCTCACCCCCGTTTAAGCATCTCTCCGCGCTATCGTTGGCAGTTAAATTGCTGATTATTTTAACGATTGGTTGAACAACTAACGTTGAAGCCGAGGCTACGTTCGTCCTCTTCTGGCTATTGGCCTTCACGGCATTGCAATCATCGGTCGCCGAGCCAAAGCTGTCCCTCACTAGAATGTTCCTGATATCGTCGGGATTATTGGGGTCGTAGTACGACCTCAAATTCGTCGGCTCGACGCCCGATTTTTTCTCCTTGCCGAGCTCCCAGATGGCATTGTAGACAAAGTCCGTCCAGTAGAAGCTGCGGCTGTCGACGGTAAGATCTATCGGTTGCTGATGTTTCCCGTGAATGAGAGCGAGACGCTCGCTGCCGTCCAGGTTGCTCTGCTCTAATTTATAATGGATTCCCTCCTCATCGTCGATCCAGTATAGCTTGCCATTGATGGGATCGACGGCGACGCTAGTCGGCTCGTAGAGGTTCTCCCTTACGACGATTCTTAACTCGCTCCCGTCAAAATTCGAACGCATGATACTCGGACTCGAGTGGTTACCGTTTGCCCAGTAAATGTGTCTGAAATGGAGGAGAGAAGCGAAGATACGGATTAATCGCTTGTGCCCAATGGCCGCCTAAGGTCGCAACGTAATTGCGATTTTATCGTCGGTGTATCGTGATTAACGATCAATGCAACGCCAAATGAGAAACTAACGGAGCGGAGGCTATTGGAAAGTACGACTAATACTTGCATCAAAGAAATAAAATTTTTAATCCCCCAAGGACCTAATGATGTAACAAGTGCAACATTATTTCCCCTATAAACTAAGATTTATGTCAACTTTTTTTTTTTTTTTTTTTTTTTTTTTTTTTTTTTTTTTTTAATCATTATTATTATTATTATTATTAATAATATTGCAACGTATTGTTTCGATCAAACTCATCAGAGTATACCAAAAGTTTCTTGTCGTTCGTAAAACGCAAGTTGATAAATTTTTAAATAAAAGACAAAATAATGTTTTATTAATTAATCATTGATATAATATGAATGTGAATAGATATTCGCGTATATTTTCTTTAATTCACCAATGCAAATATGAAATTCAATTATAAAATGGCAATTATAAGATTGGCATAACTTACGATACTAATCTCGAATGGAAAAATCAGGAAATTAACTCCATTTCAATATAATAATTTCCCCCTTTAGAGCCTGTAGTCTTTAACATTACAATTAACGCAACTGATTAAATATTTGCGAAATAATAATTTTGCGAATGTTTGTGATACTGCGATAAGCAATTAAACCACGCTTAACAATTAACAAAAATTTATTAATATATTAATATAATATTCAACTGTTTAATGCATTGTTAACTGTTCTAAAGTCAAGTTTATAATGACTTGAATATACAACACTTTCAGCTACCTTTATGCATCTTATGTAATTGGCTAAAATTTACAATTCGATTTTTATTTATGCAAAGTCTTCATTTATTATCGATTGTCAAAACGATTAAATGCGAATAAATTGGATAGAAGAACTGTTTTAATTGAAAAACTTTATTCGTATAAAAATGTTATGTGGGGTTATACGATGAAGATAGCATTATAATTATAATTATGTGACATTGTATAATTAAACTGAATATAAATGACAATTAATAAGATTATTAAATTATAATGCGCTGATGTTACTTGAATAAAGCATTAAAAATACTATAATGATAAGTATAAACACAAATACCAGATGAATTCATTAAATACGTGTAAAAAATAATCGTAGAGTGAGAATTTGAATATACCACTATACACGAGCTATGTGCAACAACAAAATCTTATTTACAATAAATACTTGAGATACTTCAATAAAATATGGATTGGCTTTGTAATTGTATTTTAATTGTATTAATTTATTTAAGGGATTTGTGGAATATTTTAAGCGCCGTTTTAAGATACTCTAATGTCGTATTCTATCGGAAAAAATTGAGATAGAAATTAATCCATTAAATTTAACCAAAGTGCTTTCGCAATTCATTTGCATTAATATTCTCATTCTTCAATGTGACTTCATTCCTTTGAATTGATCATAAATATAACGAAGTTATTTTAATTTAATTTAATGTATGTTTTAAAATATTTATGATCGCTAGACTATTCTGAAAAGAATTTTAAACCAAACAGTAACGCATAATTGTCTGTGATAAAAAAAAAAAAAAAAAAACAAAAAAACAAAAAAAAAATTGATATATGTTTTAAATACACACTGTCGTTTAGAATGCTTTAATATAGAATTTAACGGATGTTACGTAGCAAAATTTAAGGTCAATATTTTAAAGTCAATAAATTGAAGTGACATAAGAAAGACCAATTGACTTCATATCAAATTTATCCAATCGAGCTATTTATATATTTATTAAGCACATTATTATATACGTCAGCCCCTCTCATTTCACCATTCAATACGATTTAATACGATTCAAATATTTCGAATTTAATTAACGCAATAAAACATATACGTTAAAAAAAACATAATATATTGTCTATAGGAAGAAAGTATAACATGCAATATTAATTTAGCAAATTGCCATAAAGCACGCATAGAAACATTATAGTTAAACAAAATTTATGAGTCGCATAAGCAAATTATCTAAATTTGCCAATCGACCACGAAGAGCCGGGCGTTAAGGCACGAAGACGAGGCATAAAGGGGCCAAAACATATAAAAATTCCTGTTAGCGTTAGGGAATAAAGTCACGTAATGTTAACATTTCACGCCGATAAAAACAAACGAACGCGAATGAAAATGACGAGGTAGGCCCAAATCTTACCGGGCAACCCATGTCCGACCATCAGTGCAACCACAGCGGATTTTCAGATGAAAGATCGTTAGTTACACGCACACACCTGTTACATACGTCGAGGGCGACGCCCCGCGGACTCGTCGCCTCGCTTTTGTGGACGAGATCAGGTTTAGCCGGCGCCTTCTTCATCGGCACGCGCATCTTCATTATTGCCCAACCGTTCGTCCAGTAGAGGGTGTGCGCACGCCTGTCCAGGGCCATGTCCAGTACCGGTGGCTCCGAGGCGTTTCCTGAAAGTTACGACAACATTTTTACTTCTTCGCTGATTATTTCCTTTTACATTACGTATTTCCACTATTATTTATAAATGATATTTTTCATCTTTTACTCGTGAAAGTAGCTACCGTTGTTTCATCACACACTTTCCACTGGTCGTTATTGTCTTGTAGCTTACAAGCTGGATGCACGAGGGAGTAAATGGTATTGACGTATTGTATTAATAATTATTATTAATAATTATAATACTAATAATTATAAAGTATTAATAATCGGGCTTTAATAACATATATTTATCATAATAACTAATGTATTCTAAAAGGGATAATGAAAGTATCATAGTCCAGCGTGCGAAAGATTAAACTTTAATAGGCAAAAAATTTGCATCCTATTGACTCGTGCAAAACGTAAGCGCTGCTTTAAATTTTCAACTAATGAGCCTCGAGATTGTTATCAGAATAAATTTAAATAAAATTGAATTTTAATAAAGATTATTATCTTTAAATGTCACTACGAAATAATACACAATATACATAATTAACAAGATTAATCAGATAGCAATTGAATGCTCTAATTAATAAAAGTGACATATCTTACAAAACCAAATATACCTGTTACTTGCTGCCAACATCTTCACGACTAGGCAAACATATTTAATTTGCCTTTGCTAAATTACATTAAATTTTATCAATGCGTTTGCAGCGACTGTTTTTATCAGTTTAATAAAATTTTACATGGTAATCGCAATTACTTTTATACGACTATTAAACTCATTCTTGATTCATAAATACCATAAGTTTTTTGTTGTCAATACAATTATTTTATTATGAAATTATCAACATATATTTAAAAAAAAAAAAAAAAAAAAAAAAAAAAAAAAAAAAAAAAAAAAAAATCAGATGTCATTTTAAAGATATAATGTATAATTTTTACCTGAAAATAATAACGAATGAGTTTAGATAGAAAATAAGTTGGTAGTATTCTGTTATAATGGACGAAATAGTAATTTGATTGAACAAAATAATCGCTTCTTCTAAAGCATTAAAGATCGTACTAACGTAATCGTAAAAACTCGTTTTATCCCAATCTATAAAGATCTAATTATACTGTAATTTATTATTCATTAATTACATACTTACTTGCAAGTATTGGCGTTACCGTCACATTCGTCTCTGACAAATTGACGCTGAATATCCAAAGATCGCGATTTTTGGCGTCGCTTAGGAACATTGTGCGGCTATCCTCGTCGTAGGCCAGTCCCACGAGGCTCGAGGCGTTGGCAATAATCGTTTTATCGATTATACTTCCGTTTCGCGTGATAAAATCGATTTTGTTGCCCACTGTCACTGCTAGATCTATGACAAATGTACAATTTTATTTTTACTATGGGCTATGCTTTCTTCTTCAATTGTTAATGATTTTAATTGATAATGCATCTACATTATATAAACATTTATGAAGAAATTCAAGAAAAAAATTTTAATCATGTGAACAATGCAATAAAACGATCTCGCTCGAATTTTTCTTACTGAAAATTCTATATTTCAATTTTATTGAGTAGGCTTTTTTCATATATATATATATATATATATATATATATATATATCTTGAAATATATCATTTTTTCATTGGTAATAGAAAAATCATGAGAAATATTATTTCTTCGAAAGATAAAAAAATTCGTTATTAATATTATTATACTAATATTTATTATCTTAATTATTATTTTGCTTTTAATTTAATTATACTTTAACTACATCGAGTAAAATAATGAATACATTTTTAGACAAATTAACACTAATAAAAATAAATTATTCATACAATTAATAGCAATGAAATTAATATAAGAAATTTCTCATATGTAAGAATAAAAATGAAATTTGAATATTGGTAAAAGACAATATTATAAATAATGCATTACAAATACCACTTATCTTATAGATTATTTAAGTTTCACAAGTACAAATTAAAATTAATGTTACAATCTTACACGAGCACGGTCAAAGGGCAATTTAATAAATTTTCTTCTTTATGAATCCACTGATACATCTCAATGCAATCCATTCGGTTAATTAATAGGAACAGCCAAGATTAAAAAAATAAATAAATTTTGTTGTTTTATATATATATATATATATATATATATATATATGTATGTATGTATGTATTTCTTTTTGTAATACATATTCAAAACTTAAAAAAAATCTTATTTTAAATATATTCTTACTAAATCAACACGTTGTAGTCACTTCTAGTGGATCTGAAGGGGTTTTATATTCTTTTGAATATATTATTTTGAAGTCAATAATTACTCACAGTGCATATCTCCCTATAATTTCAGTTGTATTGGTAAATTTTTCTTCTAATATATTCGAAGATATAATTAAATAATCTTTATAATTGAAGCCAGTTTTTTACTTAAATGTTCATCAAATTATTAACAATTATTTTAATTTTAATATATTTTTTGATCACTAAAAACTATCTTGTATTTATTTAGATGGCGATACAAAAAAAAAAATAATAAATAAATAAACAGATACAAAAAACGTCATGCATGATATTATTTTTTACTTAAAGTTTTGAATAATTATTTATTTTTTTGTAATGTAATTATACAATATTGTTATATTTAGTTACATTTGTTATGCACGCGATAAAAGCGTATGTTGGGTAAATTAATTTTCACCGTACCACGCGTCAATAAAATAGATGCAGAAACATGAAGAAAACATTAATTATTGCTCTTCGTCAATGCAATATATTCGCTTGTGAATTAAATAAATGTTTATTAGTCATTTGTGTTTAACACGATATTACCAAACGTACAACCATAGAAACATTCATAAACATGAATTCTCAATTGAAAATTTCATCACTGGGATTCAGTGTTATTTTTCAATGATAAAATCTTATAATAAGCCTCATTAGCCTAATACCTTTACTACGTAAAACATTAAAATATAACACATCCGGTATAGTTATTAATTGAAAAATCTTTAAAAAATAATTCTAATTTCATATTGCATATCTACAACTTTCTTCTACTGACATAAAATTAGAAATACAATGTGCTTGGCCATTCGGTTAATCGCCATTTCTCAAAAACTTCAACGTCCCCATCAAATAATAATTTAAAGACTTCAAACATTAGAAATATCACATTAATATAAATCTTTTAATTATAATACTACTGAATTCTATGGCTAATTATTAAATAAACTGTTTCAAATAAACTAATAATTACAATTTATAATTCGAATTTTATTATATAATAGAATATATAAATTGTGAATAGAAATAATTTACAATCGAAGTTATATTTGCATGATATGTAATAAATGTGGATAAGTGAAATATGATCGGAGAATAGGGCGGGGTGGGGGGTGTACGTCTGCTTTGTTTATAAAGCTTTATTCTGTTATGCATTATGTAAATAAAAGGATATAAATATTCAAATATATAGAATGAGAATTCTTATATTTTTCGATAATACATAATATAAAGAGATATAATTCACTTAAATATCTTCTATTATACGTATTATATAATACATAAATTATTGCAAAATAAAAAAATGTATATTTTTATATGTTAAAATTACATAAAATTACGAAAAAGTTTGATTGTTCGTAATTTATTTTGTTTTACTGGCTAATAGTAATTTTTCGCGTGTTTTCAAATCTTTATTTTTTAAAAATTTCCCAATTTAAAAGATTAGAAAAACAATTGTACCGTCGTTGGTTTCGGGCAATCTCGATGATAAGACGAAGCGTTTTTACTAACTTATTGGTCAATAAGAATATTAATAATTAATCTGAAATTGAATTCGAATGTCGGAACAACGGCTACATCTATTCAAATTTCCAACAGGTTCAGGAATTCACTCACTCTCTCGTTCTTTTAATTTATTTCCAATCACGCGGCTATTGTAATTGAGACGCGTAGAGATCGTATTAATCAATCATCAAGGATTCAGAGATGGGTCAGCGTCTCCGGTCCTCACATTACATAACCATTCGCAATGTTTCAAATCATCGGCATTTACCTTCGCCCTATTTTAACGTCCTCTGCTTTTATTTTCTCGTACGGCTAAATTATGATTTTATACAAGATGCAAGGACGATACACTGGTACACCCGATCCCCAAACAAAATCAACGGATCCACGTTTATTTATGTTTACGCTAGCGCTACTGACTCTTAAGGTTGCTAGAGGGTTGAAAATACTAACACTGTACGCCAAATTGCGAATTTCTAACGATCCTTTGCTTACTTCTCTTTACGTAACCAACTCTTTTATGTTGACGCTTAAAGGCGGCATGAGATTTTTCACTAAAAGTGTTTGCATTGTCGAGCAAAGGCAAATCCAACCTTTTAAATAGATTTTCCCGCGCAAACAAATTAATGTTTTTTTTTTTTTGTAAATTATTTTTTTCATATTCTTTGTTCGTTTCGAATAATCGAATGAAAGTCACTTTACGCTTAATATATGATTCTCCCGCATGCGACGAGACATTGTTCGTATATTTGCAAAAATTAATAATATTAGTCGATCATGTTTACTCATTATGAAACAAATATTATTTCATTATGATATCGCTATCGTTTTTACAAACAGTCTTTACGTTATTATATCTTTTATACCATAATAATGAATATATATATATATATATATATATATATATATATATTATGAAATTGATTGTATATTATAATGGAATAATCAATTGAAATAATTTGCGTAAAAGCAATATGTAAATCCATTAATAACTTAAAGTGTTAGATATACAGTTATAGAAAGACTGCGTGGACAAAAGTATATATTTACGGGAAAATAATTTGTAGTGTAAAAACAGTCGATATATATGAACTTATGTATGTCGTTATTAATTAGTATTAAAGTGTATTCAAATGAATTATTAACAAATTAACGAATGCAGAGGGGTGTTAGATTGAGGTCACTTTAGGTACCCCATGCAACTGCTTATTTATTTCATTAATGATTACTTATCATTTATTAGACAAAGGCTATAAATATTGAATTTACCGGAGACGAAAATGGCGAGTACAAATTGGTGTCTAAATCGATCGATTGTGCAATGATTTGCTTAATTAGCCCCTTTAGAGCTAATTAAACGCTTATTTTAATATGAAATACAATGTATGGGCAAGATCATTCTAGCACGAGTGTAACTATAAAAAGCTTATCGACAATTTTACAGGCATTAACAAGCCGGTGAATTTTTAAATTATTTTTCAATAGTTGCAAGCGTTTATAGAAATTTCCCCTTCTATTCATCATTGTGTTTCGCAAAAATCGCTATTTTTAAACAGCCGTGGCTTAGCTGCTTTTCATCGGACGCGACACCGATTTGCGCAATCGCGCACAAAAGTCAAATTAGACGCCATAAGGAGGAAGCACGCGTATGTAAATTGAAGGTCGATCAATGTTCAGGGTAAAGAGGGTCAGTTCGATGGTCAGTAAGTACGAAAATGCCGAAAGCCCAGGAAAATAGCACGGGCCGGTCGTTTATTCGCGCCATTGCGTCGTCGTCGCGTAGCCTCTATTGATCTCGCGCGACGGTCAGACCTGTGAAGCTTGAGAGAGACAGAGACACACAGACAGACACAGAGAGAGAGAGAGAGAGAGAGAGAGAGAGAGACAAGGAGATACGTAACGTGGTAGGGTGAGAATCGCTCACGAGCACGTGCTCGGTTACATTCGAATTGGCCGCTCCGAAAGGATATTGCACAACATGCGCTACTGGATGATGGCAGACGACTGTGAGACGTGGGGGGGGGCGAGGTGGAAGAAGTGAGATTGAATGAAAAGTGTGGAAGGAATGCATTTTCTGGGATGCATGGTTGGACTGGAAACAAGAGCTCTAATCGCCGGCTCTAGCTATTTATTCCCTCTATTATCGCGACAAAGTTTACTTCTCTGTAGTTACGTAAGGTTGGGGGATCGAACAGTTAACTTAAATTTATAGGCTCTTGATTAATTACACTCGAAAATTTATGTGCGCTTGTTTATCCTTATTATTAAATTATTTCCGTACGACTGTCTGGGCATTCAATAAAATTCGAATTTCAATAAATGCAATAAAATTGAGCGGTCCCGGCAATTACAGGCGAATTAATCGAATGAGGACTTTTTTCAATGGAATGCACGTTCGCGTTGTCATTTATTAAGATACAATATCGTAACAAATTGCATAAGAGGTAAATTATTTTAGTAACTATTTGTAACGACGAAAAAGAAGATTTTATGTATAATATGCTAGAGGCTATTATTATCAATACTGAGCTTTAAGAGAGCGAATGTAACGCAATACGTGTGACACAATTGTTTTTACACCAACGAATGATTACGAAAAATTACATTCCGAAATACGCTATGAAGCACTTTGTCTAACATGAAATCTGCACTATCCTGTCCAATCAATATTGATTCAATGGGAAAATGTAATTATTTAAAATTCTTATCCCTCTTACGAGGATGAATCAATGCAGGAACATTAATTCAATCCTAATATTCTACTGTTACTTCAAATATTGTTTACGCGTGAAACCAAATGACACGTGTAATTGGGTATCTTAATCATACACATAATAAACAAAAATAAAAATATAAAGAAAAGGAAAAAGAAACGAAAAAAAAAAATATATATATATAACTAAATTATTAGGCTATTAATATTATGAAAAAGAATTAGTACCACAACTTTACAAGTTTTAGAATAACTTTTAGGCGAGAATTTCCTTATCTCGTAATACGTAATTAAAAAGAAAAATGAAAAAAAAAAAGAAGAAAAAAAAGGAAAAAAAAAACAATTTATGAAATTAAATGATTTTTATGTTTTTTAAAAAAAAAAAAAAAAAAAAAAAAAAAACTAATCCAAGCGATAACCAATGCTTTAAAGAATTAATAATAAAAATTCAATAATAATACTAATATAAAAGCCTATTCATTTTAATATAAATTAGTCAATCATACGAGTAAACAATATTTTGAAGGTTTTATTATTATTTTGGGATATTATAGTCTTAGGCTGTACTGTTTGGTTTGACAAAATTACATCTAATTTTTTTTATAGCACATTTATTTTATTTGCATTGCAAAATCTACGACTTGCTGTCCAAAGTTATGTTTATTTTTAAAAATGTCTTTTTAATTTCCATATTTATTTATTCGGCTTTGCGAGAATGGCTCGCACATTTAAAATTTGTCGCTTTCGACCTACTGATCATTATTCAATGTAAATAATCCTGACAAAAGTGACATTAACTCTTAAGGGAGAAATTAAATATGATTCAGTATGAAAATTAATCTGAAATATTCGTTTCATCAAACAGGTAGGAAAGACGACAAGCGGAGCCAAAGCCAAGAATTTGCACACTTATCTCCTCGGTGATTATATGAATGTTGACAGTCGCGAGATAAGAAATTTTTTTCATCAATGAAATTCTTACTCATACTTACACATAGATTAAATTTTACTATGAAACTAAAGATACATGACCACGATGTCACTGCTACTTGATATTATTTTAATAGCTTGTAATCTACGGTCGCATTTTTATTTCATTCATTTCGCCATTCGGATGACTTATCTATCTATCTATTTACAATCTCCCTCTCTCTCTCGCTATATATATATATATATATATATTTATTTATTTATTTATATACATGCATATATCAAATTGCATATTATGCGAATAGTTAGCAATGATTCATCATGATATATAACTCGGCAGAATGACAAAGGTCAACAATAATTTGTCTATTCCATTTTATATCGGCAATGGTTTTTTTTTTTTTTTTTTTTTTTTTTTTTTTTTTTTTGACGCTCTCTAGAAAGTATAAATTCCGAAGATGTTAGCACGAGAATCTAAAGAAATATTACATAAAAAAATCATGTCTCTTTAATATATGGGCTATTGCAATCTGCCTCCCCTCTCAACCAATCAATGCTAAATCAGCGAATTAAGAAATAGCCGAAATCAATTAATTTGTACGGCGTTTTAAAGATTGGCAGGCCAGCCGGCATATTAAGCTAACGATTAACGTTTTCCCTTCGACAACGAGTAAGTAAATAAAGTACGACTAATGAAGTGGAAGCTTTAGCGCAGTGCCGTGGAAAGATGAAAATAATGGTCGAATAGCACTAGACGCGGCGGCGCTTCGTCTGCCCATGATTATTATAGAATTCCAAGGGTTCGAGCCCCCGCGTATTGTGACGTGAGCTCGATATTGTAACAATAAACGGTGATTAGGGGATTATTAATAGTTTTCAGCGTACGCGAGCCGTGGACGCCCTCGAGCAGGGAGGCTTAACCGGTCAGTCACGCCCAGGCTCGAGGGTACCGACCAAACGGCGAGTACATCAGCTGCCACGATCGCTTGCACCCCCGAGCTCGAAATCGATAATCTGTAGGATCGAAGCCCCGTGCAGATCCCTCGACAGTCCCCGTTGACCATCAGCTCCTCGATGAAGAGCAATGGTGTTGATAATGGTGGTGGTGGTGACGGTGGAGATAGTAGTGGTGGTGGTGGTGGTGATGATGATGATGATGATGATGATGATGATGATGATGGTGATGATGGTGATGATGGTGATGATGGTGGTGGTGGTGATTGTGGTGAGGACGGCGACGGCGGTCGTAATCTCGGGGTCGGAATACGTGGCTGGTTGGGTAAAGGGCCGACCTTGGGCAAGGTCGTCGTGACCGAAGGGGACGGGCGAGCGAGGAGCGCCGGAGTGTCGCGCGCACGCGGCCGCTGCCGCTGCCGCCGCCACCACCGCCGCCGCCGCCGCTTGGCCTACGTGACGAGTCGAGGCGCGCGAATGGAGTCTTACAAAGTCACGTAGGCACGACTCGAGCTCGTACGGCATGACCGACCCGGCGATCCTCGTCCGAGCAGCTCGGGTTTCGAGTCTGGGGCCGTAGGGAACGTTTTCTCGCGGGTCCGATATATCGTGACGAGCGGTCCGCGGGGCCCCTCGTGCACCGCTTTTATTTATACACGTGCTCGCGGGAGCCGTTGGTGGTCGGAGAAAATCGCTCGAGAGCCCGTACGAGGCTCGTCGGTTAACGCGCGGTCGCTGAGAAATTCGTGGTATATTTATAGCAGAGACGATCTCGACGGCACCGAGATCAGCAGATTTTACGTAATAGAGGGGCTACGAGGTTCTCGACTCACCCCAGGAGCTGGCGCCGCCGGGGATGGCCACCAGGTGGAGGAGGAGAAGAAGGAGGACCGGGCCCGAGGGCAGTCGCTCGCTTCGGATGTACATGCTGCTGCAGCCGTAGCCTTAGCCTTAGCCTTAAAGCCGTAGCCGTAGCCGTAGCCGTAGCCGTAGCCGTAGCCGTAGCCGTAGCCGTAGCCGTTGTCGTCGTGGTTGCTGTCGTTGTTGTGTCGTATTTATCGTAGTCGTCGTGCTCGCCGTCGTTGTTGTTGTTGTTGTTGTTGTTGTTGTTGTACGAAGTCGTCACCGTCGCTCTCCGTTCCTGGCTGCCTCGGAGAGACGCGCGCAGTGCCTCCGCGACACGGTGCGCCGGCCGCGAGCGAACTGACGGCAGTCCTCGACAGGAGCTGCTCGAGACACTCGTCGCCCGCTCCGTCCGCGCGCTGCGCCACCGAGTCCCCACGACCTACAGAGTTCGCCACGGACGGTGCCGAGCTGCAGTGGGGCGCCGGTGGTGCGCGCGCTCGCGCACCCGCACCATTAGCCAGACTCAGCGGGTGGCAGAGGGGACAGATAGATAAGTGGCGGTGGTGGTGGGGATCGGTGTGAAGAGGCGGGATGGGGAGGGGCGAGCGCGGCGCGCGCTACTACGGATGAAAACTGCAGACGCGAGAGACGCCGCCGTAGACTTCAAATTTTTTTTTCCAGCTTGCATAAGTGTTCGATTGCTTTAATAATGTGTGTCCTTATATCCTACTTTGCAAGGATGTAGCCTAATCTTTGAATTATCGAAAACGGATTGATGCTTGGGCACGACGAGGTCGGTCGACTAATTGCATTTCACGCATAATTCGTTACGAATAGACACAATCGGCGGTGTGCGCAGCGATAAGCCAAGTAGGATAAATGAAATACTTGTACCTAATAATGTAATAATAAGGTGACCGTACGCATTCGGTTAATCCTGTAATCGTTGTACTTTAGACAACAGTTGTATAGTCATTGAAAGTATAGCCAATTTCAATATATTACGGTTAATGTAGTTATGTGTGAATTATTTGGTCGAAGGCTCTTAGCCATAGTCTTATGATTTCACAAATTTATTCGTCACGTACTTTACCACTGATTTCTGCTCGCTCGTCACTTGGCACTCAAAGTTTTCAAAACAAACGATAATCCAGGCAGATACGAGTCCTCGGCTTTTCAAATAATTTCAATACCAATTATCTAAATAACAATTGGATGGGGATTATCAACAAATCAAAAACGGTCTTTAAAACAATATTTGCGTTTAATGACCCCTATAATGTTGTAAAGAAAATGAAATTTGGATGAATATTTGAAAAATGAAAGAAAATTTTTGGTAAATACGTGGTGAATTTTCATTATCACGATGTATTGTTGAAATAGCGTAAAGATTAAAAATCGGAAAAAATTCTTTTATGTCGATTTTTAACATCAATTTCTATTTAATGAAAATATTTACTTTATGTATTTCCAATTAGGATTAACAGGCCATAAATAGTACCTCGAATTTCACTTTACGATGATTATCGTCGAACTATAAATTCATACTCAAAATTTGTTCTTTGCTATTCCAATATTTCGGAAGTGTTGACATATTAATTTTCAAAGTCTAAATTACTAAAAATATTTTAATAATTTCTTCTGGATAAATATAATACCGACTCTCTTTGAATAGTAGCACCTTTCTTCTTTAATATAACTGTTAATAATATTGAATTATATTAAATTATTTTAATGATATATATTATACGATATTTATCCAGCAATTTGTAAATAGAAATAATTAATTTGACGATTGTTTAATCAAAATAATCGTTAAAAGATTAGGATTTCGTTGATATTATAATTCGCCAGCTATTGACACTCTAATTTATTTTATTTCAATGACAACATAAAGAACTTTATTCAACATTTAGTTGTATTAAGAAATATTTTATAAATATAATCGATATTATAATTATTGCATCGATCATTTTTAGATAAGTAGATGATTGAAAAATTCACAATAATTTTTATGCATAATTAACATAACTCCCCTCATTTTCACATACATTCAAGCCAATAGAAATAAATATATTATGTTGATATGAATGATTCAAGTCATTTTATATTTAAATATGAAATTTATACTCCGATATATATATATATATATATATATATATATATATATATATATAAAATTATCGGTTTCTCATACTTTTACAAAATATAATCATAAATCCGATTGTTTATAAGATCAAATTATTTGATGATTAAGCTATATGTTTACTTTATATTTTCACCTAATACCTAAATATATGCCGTGCGAAATATTTTTTACATCACAAAATATAGATATTTGCGATTTTGTTAAAATTTAACGTAAATCTGTAATCACGCACGCAGAGAGATAATAAAAGCTTATTGATTTGGTAACCTGTTAGTAATAAAGGGGTTATTAATACCTAATACATTCGTATTTAATAGTAAATTAATAATAAATTTGTGTTTATTAATTAGTACGTAATAAACAATATCACAGTCGGTGTTGAGATAAAGGTTTTATACCAACATCAAAAATAGTAAATAAAATAATAATTAAGAATGTAAAAGACTTTATGTCACACATACCTGAACATTTATAAAATAAATTGACATTTCTTTTTCAATAAACTGGTAACATTGGTACTTGACAAGCATTTCTGATTTTACGAGAGAGCCATTGCCGAATTAGTTCTACCAACTTGAAATTGTGATAAAAATTCATGATAATCAATACTTTTTCAAATAATTGATTTTCTATTGTATTATTATAGTTTATATTTCCTTATATTGTGCTACAATTAGTCAATTTCTAAAACTTGTGTGTAGACAAAAAAACTTGATCAAAATTTTATGTATCCTTACTATTTTACTTTCATTTGCGCAGTTACGATTTTCGTCATTCAATTAATTAACCTTGAATTAATGATTCCAGAAATATAAAGTTATTTCACCGCGTTATTTTCTTTTACATCTTATGTCTTACCCAATTTTAAATTCTAGTCTAGCAGGCCTCTTATGTAGCATTAGTTAATCTATCTTACAACTGCATTAAACACGGTATGTCCGTCTCGGTATATAAATCGTCACTAATTATATCATTATTTATAATGGCTGGATCGTAATAATTGTTAACTGACTATTACAAGTCTAAGATATTGAAATATTGAATACTGCATATAATGTATTTTCTATTTGTTATAAAAAAAAAGCTTTCAAAAATTAAAAAGATATTTCTAAAGAGCCATTCGGAGCTTAAACAACAAACTTACGCATTTACAATTTTTTATTGCTATTATGAGATGCAAGAATCTTCAATACGTGAGTATTAAATCATATACCGTATTATTATTTTCCATTAAATAGTTTCATATAAATATTACGAAGATGAGCTTGTGGATATTTATTATGATCAAAAGATTTATATATAAATTTCGAAATAATGCAATGGAACAATAACGCTTATAGAATTTTTTTACATTTTATCGTATCCACTCATAAAGTTATTTGTATTTTTTCAAATTGTAAGTTTTCGTATATTTTCTGACCTGAAAAAGAATTATTTTAAAGTTTTATTACAGCAAGTAAGTTAATTAATTTAAATAATTTTATTAGTATTCTATTTTCTTCCCTTTTATTTAGAAACAAATCTTCTACAAACTTTTCATATTTATATTTATTCATATTAAGTTTAAATTGCATTTTTAACCAATAAAGATAAAGTAAATATCCTTTAAAATTATTATACCAAATAAGTAATTGATATGTATCATACTCATATTAAGGTAAAAAATTTAAATAATTAATTTAAAAATTCGTAGGGAAATGTTTGTATTATAAAATAAGAAATTTTATTACACAATTTTTTTAATATTTAGCGTCTATAACATAGAAAAATAGTAAAAACATTTATCACGAGCAATTTACTTTTTAATATTTTTCATGAAAGATACTTTCATTAATCTATTTGTTTAAAATAATATCTACAACGGATTGTGAGTTTATAGAAATAATTATGGTTGCAGCAAATGATATTGTTTTTAAATTGAAAACAAAATTTGTACATCTAGTCCAATTTATGTTTATATTTAATTTGGATGAGATAATATGTGTTTCATATTTATACATTACATGCATGGTATTAAGTTTTTTTTTTTTTTTTTTTTTTTTTTTGTATTTTTCACTTACATTTTTGTTTATAATACAGTATTTTCAAAAACATTTCTGATAAAATTTAATTTAATCATTTTAAATTTATTGGTCTAAAATATACATCTCATATCTGTGAAAATTAAATATCTACAATAAAATAACAAAAAAATAAGCAGAGAAATTATTTTTATATTTTATTAAGATTAATACACATAAGAAAAAACTATTCCTGTTCCTAAAATTTCAATAATAGATAATTTGTAATCACGAATTTCGGTAATATATTTTCAAAATAAATATTAATTTTTTAATAAATTTGCATTTAATTTTGTATTATCATTTTAACATTTTTATTTAGTTAATATAACTGCCGAATTACATTCTAGTACTCGACGAATTATAACATTTAGCAAATATCAATTACCCCTCTTTTTTCTCAAAATTTATATTAAAAATGATAACAAATTTTATCATGATCTTAGAAATTCCACAAATAGAAATTATATTAAATCGAGAAAAGTTTTTATTTGAAATTTATCAATATACAATATATAAATAATATAATTTATAAATAAAGAACTTAGGGCCATTTAATCTCGACCATTATTTAAAATATTTATATAGTTATAATTTAGTATAAATGACATGAGTTTATATATTTCATGTAACTTTGAAAAAATAATTTATTTTTTTAAAAATAACATATACAATAGATGCTTTGAAATAATTTTTGCATTTCATTTTTAATTTTATACGTAATTAATATTTATTAATTTATTTTTAGTTTTTATTCAAATATACTTACCCAATTATAATAAAGTATAATACAATATTATTGAGTTTATCATACAGTAAGTCTAAACATTTCACATTCTAGTATTAAAACAGGTCAATGAATTAATCTGAGTTTGTATTTATATCTAATCACACCTATATATTTTTAAAATTTTTCTTAAATTCAAGTTGTGATTAAATTGTCAATATTGAACTTTAAGCATGTCAAATATTTATATAAAAGTATACATATGTATATATATATATATATTTGTATGTATGGAATTATAAATAAATTCGTGCTCAAACAATATATATATATATATATATATATATATATATATAGGTATTATCTTAATTGAAATAAAATAAAATTTATGAAATCAGTATTTTCCTTATTTTGTTGTGTTTTCAATTAATTTCAATGCCCATTTTATAGGTAATGAAAACTTGATCTTAAACAATTAAGTATAATTGATTTAAAAATTTTTTTTTGAAATGTACATTTAAAAGATTGTATATTAAATATATAAAATTAATAATATAAAATAATAGAAAATTAAAAAATATTTTATAAAACTTTATTAATTTTATTGCAGTAATTTTTAAATATTCACAGCCATTTTATAAGCTATTTATAAACTATTCTATTTCTATATAATTTGAATAAACTTATTGGAAATGTCTTTTTTAACAGTTGAACATAATTTAAACTAAATTTACATTTTTATATTTAATTGTTGATATATCGTATATAATGTCTACGAAACCATTGATTTACTATTAGCCAAAACTATTTGTATGTAGAATTATTATAGATTAGAATAAAGTTTATGAAAATGAGTGGTTTATTGTTCCTCGATGAAAGAAAAAGGTATCTTTGAATGCATATAAGTTAGATCAATTGTTACAGCAGATTAGCAGATAGAATAGTATTTAATATAATTTTACAATATATCACTCTTTAAAATGTTATCTATTAATTCATAATATTTTCAATTTCGTATTATTGGTTTTGTGGATATACAAAATTATTTATAGATAAATTTCTTGCATTGGTATAATCATTTCATATTTTGATACTGCCATTATCCGTTAAAGTTTTAAATAAATATATTAAAAAAAAAAAATATATCGGCTTTTCGAAAATTTCTGTTTCTCATACCACGGAAGATTCCAAAGCCCAGCAGCAAATAATCGATTAAAGTGAATAGGAGAACATTATTGGCTCCATTGGAAATGAGCAATCAATCACGTAGGCACTCATTCGGGTATTTAAAGTTAAACATTACCGAATGTGTAAAATATAAATATAGATTCAACGTACTTTTCCAACCAACATTATGTAACTCGTGTATTACATTAATTTATATCTACAAATCAATATGTTTGTATAAATAAAAAATTGTGTAGTTGTTAAAAAATTTTTAAAAATAGTTTGTATAAATAAAAAAAATGTATAGTCATTATTATAATGTAAAAAGTACAGATTACGTGAAAAATTGAGAAAAGAGATTTAAAAGCCTTATATAACTGTTTTGTTGAATTACAATAAAAGAACAATAAAATATATATAGATTCTTAAAAATAAAAATGGAATAATATTGAATTTTATGATTAAATTATCAAAGAGATATTCCCATTAGGTGTAAAATTCCAATTAAGATGATACCAATATAAATATATATCTATATTGAATAAAAATTATAATATTCAATTATGTGTCAAATTTATTATATCAAATTTCTTGTAATACAACATTAGAACTTTATTAATTCAAAACTTTCAAATAAGAAAACTTTTTTTTACATTTGATGTTTATTGTTAAAACGGCCATTTATAATTTCAAGTATATGAATATCTACTTCTCAATATTATGTTTTTTTTTTTTTTTTTTTTTTTTTTTTTTTTTTTTTTTTTTAATATGAAGAATGTGCAGTTATGAACGATTGAATTATATTAGGCATATGTTTATTCTTAAATTTATCTTCAAAAATAATTTCTTAATTTCTCATATTGCGTAAAACAGTTCCAATTTTCTCTAACACAATTATTCATTAATGCATTGCTACAATATTATTGGATCGGCATAACCTTTTTAGAAAATGTTTATATATTACTTCAATATTAGTTTGAAATAAACGTGCTCTTCGATATGTAGAGATTGAATATTGGTTAAAAAAAAAAAATAAATAAATAAATAAACAAGCTAACAAACATACAAACAAACAATCAAATAAAGAAAAAACGTAAGTAATGGAAATTCTTATGTAACGGTTAGTCGTGTAAATTAGTATTTGAATGTTCATAAATAAAAAAAAAGTCGCTTTGAAAAAAATTTGCCTTTAATTTCCGTAATCTTCGACAACTCTATTACTTTTTGTTTACAAAACGTCGTCTTCCTTGTTTATTTATAAAATATAAATATTCAAGGAAGAAGCTTGAAATTATTAAGAATTGTAATAAATAAAGACAATGTTCGCATAGTTATAAATTATCCTTCTATATTTTTTTCTTATGAAAATTTTACAAGATTTTAACGAAAAGTTATTCGAATAAATTACTTACTGTTAATAATTTATTGCTCCTATTGCAATATTTAAAAAATATTTCCTTATTCTCAATTTCTTATTGTCAATCTACTGAAATATTTAATAAACATTACTACATTTTTCATTTCTTATTGCTTAGTCTATATCTTATATACGCAATAGTGTGCATTAATTTTCATTAATTTTCAATTATTCATTGTACTTAAGAGTTACCATTTGTATGACAATTGTCGAAAATTACGATAAATTTTTGATCGAATGCAATGTTGTTAAACTTAATTTTTCTTTTTACTCGAGTGTCAATTTTATACGTATTAAAGATATATATTGCTTATTGTAACTATGTACTATATCATTTGCCGAGATTGTTTCAGAGGTCAAATACGAATGGATACAGTGACGAACAAAGAAATCACGATGCATACTCCTTATAATTAAAATAACATATCCTCTTTGCTTAGTAAAAAGCTTCGGTTCTTTAATTATCGTCGTTTTATTAGCGAAGAAAGCTATAACGAGTACAAAAAAAAAAAAAAAAAAAAAAAAAAAAAAAAAAAAACAAAAAAAAAACAAAAACAAAATAGAAACATCATTATATGACACTAAATATTGTCGGGATTAATATAATCGTTGCATAAAGTTAACCAAGTATGCCCGATGACAAGGCAGAATAATTATTTGCGCAGCTACCTATCTATCGCAATTAAATTCAACGAAAATTGCGGTGGTCGTAAGGCTCATAAATTCCACTCCCTCTCACTTCCCCTGAGCCCCCGCATCGATAATAATAATTTTGAATCGCCATTCTCATTCGTTTGTTTTGGCAGCCCTAAAAATTTAATAACTAAAAGTAAGTAACAACACGAGTGTATGCATGAACAAACGAAAGAATTGCAATCGATAAAGTATGCGGGGGGTGGCTTTTAGGGGGTGGAGAGTTTTTTTGACTTTACACGAAATGTACGTTGGCCCGATCGCCTTTTACGATGAATAGTCATTGAGTGTCACATTACGCCGTGAAATGCTTATATGCAAATCGTATATTTGTCCATCGGGGTAAAGATGAAGGGTCGAAGGGGGCTGTGGATCGTCGGGCAAGCGATGCAACCCATCACGAATTACCTCCAAAAACGAGTTCCACGCTCGTCCAAGTCGTCGTCATTTTTGAAATGTCCGCCTCGGGCACGTGGTCGGGGGCCCCGGCGGAAGCAGCCAACAAACGACTCGTCGTCGAGTCTCGATTCCAGTTCGCTGCCGTCACCGTCACCGTCACCGTCACCGTCCCCGTCACCGTCACCGTCCCCGTCACCGTCACCGTCCCCGTCACCGTCACCGTCCCCGTCACCGTCACCGTCCCCGTCACCGTCACCGTCCCCGTCACCGTCACCGTCCCCGTCACCGTCACCGTCCCCGTCACCGTCACCGTCCCCGTCACCGTCACCGTCCCCGTCACCGTCACCGTCCCCGTCACCGTCACCGTCCCCGTCACCGTCACCGTCCCCGTCACCGTCACCGTCCCCGTCACCGTCACCGTCCCCGTCACCGTCACCGTCGCCGCCGCCGCCGCCGCTGCCGCCGCCGCCGCCGCCGCCGCTGCTGTAGCTCTCTTCTCTCCCTCCCCCTGCCCTTCCCCCTCACATCCAGCCAAAGACCGTTCGCGCACCCACCTCCGTCTCCGCCCAGCCCCGCCAGCGTCAGAATACGGTGGCGCACACGAGGACGGGGATGCCGAGGAGAGTTTCTCGTCTTGCCGAGCGGCAACTGGCCGACTCGAGCTGCAGAAAAGCCGCAACCGAGGAGCGACCAGTGGTGCCGTGAGCCGCTGGCGGTCTGCAGCTGCACCAGTCTCGAGAGTAGTGTCGAGTGGGCCGAGCATCGTCGCGAGCAGTCGAGTCGCGAGTTGAGTCCTTCGGCTTGTGCTCTCTCGGTCACGCGAGACTGCCGTTGTGCTCGGTCGATCGATGATCGGTGGAGTCGACGGCAGATACGAGATAATCGTGGTAGAGGAGCACGGGGAGCCAGGGCTTGCGGGCCAGGGCCAGATTTTGAGGCGCGCGCGAGGCGGAGAGGCCGCGTCGACTCGGGGTCGGAATTAAATGTCAGACGCGGTCGTTCAACCCCGACTTCGCGGAGCACTTGGAAACCCTCGTCGGCGGACCGTGTTGCGCGTGCGGCATTACGCACACCCACGCGCACGTACTCGAGCAGTGTCGCTCTTAAGCGAGGAGCACCTGCGGCTATTTTTTGCGAGGCTCCGCGCGCTTCTTCGCCTCCGCAATGAAGCTCCTCGTGTTGTTGCTGTCGCTGCGGTAGAGAGGGACAGGGGAGTCAGCCCGCGACAAAGAGACAAGGCTACGCACTTTCGGATAAAGAAGGAAAAGCCTTGTTATGCTGCCAGAGGTAATGGATCTTCCGTAAAACGATGCCTTATTGTCTTGGTGCATTGGGAAGGATTGGGGTGGGGTTGTACGGGGAGGGAGGGGCTTGGTTTTTGACAATGAAGGCTCATTATTGAAAAGATGTGGCTTGAGTCATTGCTGCTATTTTGTCATCGGTTGTGGAATAATCTAGATCTTTGATAAATAATAGCCTCAACTTAGTGGTGTGCGTTAATAAATCAGTTCAGCGTTGGTTCATCAATTAAGTGATCATGTGAGTTACGCAGATCGTTGCTCGTATCTGGAAATGTGCTAAGTCTCGTCTAGTCAAAGTGAATACTAGTGTCAAAAGCCATTGAGCAAATTGTCGATTAATCTAGCACTTATGCATTATAAAGAATACACTGAATAACACATTATTTCATTGGATCAGGCAATATGTTACATTAATTTCAAAATACAGTTCCGTCTTATGGGAATGTAAGGTACTGTATAAAGACAGAATTTGTCCGTGCAAAGTTTTAGAATCATATAAATAGGAAATGGATGTTTTGACATTACTTTTGTAGTCCACAATCACTTTAATTACAAGCATATATTACACACACACATCATCATCATCATAAATGCATATGGATATGCACCGTCACGCACGCACACACACACACACACACACACACATATATATATATTTTTATAAATGTACCTATATATATGTGTATATATATATATATATATATATATATATATATATACTTACTTTATTTAGTCATATATGTTTAGACATTCTACACAAATCAGTTAACTTATTTAGTAGGATATCAATTATAAATTTATGTAAATATTATCTTTATAATACACAAATACAAAATACTTTTATGCTTAATATTAGTTAAGATTTAGAAGTAAAAAATTTGATTTCGATGACATATTTTACATTATACTGAATAATTGTATTAGATAGGCTATATTCTTAATCAAATGTTGCAACAAACAATGTTTATATTATAAAGATGTTCCTATTATTTATTATCTGTAAATATAAAAGTATGTTCAAGTGTATTTGTTTAAGTTTATGAAAATGACAAGAGAAAACTTTTTTACAGGATATTTAGTATCTGGATATACGAGTAAGCGGTAGTTCAAATTTGAACTAATATAATTGTGGAAGCCTACATGGATACAGTTCAACAGGCTGAGATTTCGATAGTGCATTGTAGGGCTTTGGTTACTCTATTTTCTTATGTTAGATTTAATGGAGCATTGTCGTTAGAAACGTGATAAGTCAGGCAAGGATCAAAGGACGTACAAGAATATTCAACCATATTGTATGCTATACAACAAAAAAAGATGTTAAGAGCATTTGATCTAGGTTGTTCCATCTTTATTGGATGTGTATATTGTAAAATAGAAATTAATTAATATTACATATAAAACCACGATGAAAAAAGCTGCAAATGCAGCTATTAGGATCAATTCCTTACATATGAATAAAGGAAAAGTAAAAGCTATGGATGGTATAAATAAGGTATGCACGACGCACAAAAATTTTATCTTAAATTTATTTATATACGCATAACAAAAAATTGGTCATTACATTCGTTTAATTAATGTTTTGATAATATTAATAAATATGAAATGTAATTGGTTCAAAATTTATTTTAATTGAATGAAATATTTGATATTTTAATAAGTGCGTATAGTAAATTTTGACAAATCAAATACTGAATTATATTGCGTGTGCATAATGTAATTGATAATGTATCGAATGATCTCAATTTCCATTATGTTTGCGAAATAGCTTATGCCATCATCTAATGGTGGATACAAAAACACCGAAATGTATACAACGGAATTTGAAATCAATGAAACTCCACCTAGCGCCCGTACTTTATTAACGAAAGGTTATATACAAGATGAAATTAACTCGTTCTCAGGTATTTACAGTTATCTTAAACATACCAAGCTCTTATATTTTAGGTGTAAAATTAACAAATCAACATTTTACTTATTTTCTGTAGGTGCAACGGTATCGACACGTGGGCGTTTTATGACAGAACAAGAAAAAGTACGTTGTCCGCACGAGCGTCCTCTTTATTTATACATACATGGGCATTCGAAACATAATATTGATTGTAAGAAGACATTATTAATAATTAAAATTTTTTTTGAAAAATTCATCATATATTTAAATAAATGTCAATTTTACAGTGGCTGTTAAAAAAATTAATGATATCATTAAGACCGAACACAGAAGTTCTTTAAATAGGCCGAGTCGATTTACAAATGCACCTCCACCATTAATGAGCTTACATTCAGGAGTTCCATCTGTGGTAAGGCGATTCTATGATTATTCAATTTTATTAGCTTTAATAATGCACTGGGAGAATGTTGCGAATTAAAAATTAATTTTCATCGATACTATTTAATATTAAAACTTCTCTCAGTGTTCGTATAAAGAAAAAATTCTTACTCAAGTGCATTCGATACAGGAAAAAATTTGTGTTGGTATTGAAAATGCACCGCAAGGTTTCGATTTACGCGGTCGCATTATTGGCGCAGGTGGTGCAAATTTATTATACATTAGAGGTGAAACAGGTGCTACAGTTACATTAAGAGGACGTGGTTCTCAATTTGTTGATCCAGCCTTAGGATCTGAATCTCCAGAACCCCTTCATTTATGTATAGAGTAAGTTACCGAACTTTCTTACGCGTTGTTTTGTATCCATAAATTCATTATCATTACTCACTAATAGCTCGACTATTTGGCCTCTTTTAAGATTAGTAAACACTTTATCTATTACAGACATCCAAATCACGTTGCGTTACAAAACGCAAAGCAATTAGCTATTAATTTAATTCAAACTATGCAGTCAGAATTACAGTCGTATATTCAACAACAACCTCCACCAGTTCAATCCCAACAAGTGATACAACAACCTTCTATTCAGCAAATACAACAAGGTTTAAAATTAGTTTAAGAATTAAATTTATTATTCAGCTTTAAATATTTATCTACTAATTTATTTTAGCCCAATTTCAAACTATGAATCTAGGTACATTAGGTCAGCCAAATGTTGTAACAATTCATCAAGGTAAAGACCAATCTGTTTTTATTAACAATGTATGCAAATATTTATACATTAATAAATTACAATACAATACCTATCGTTTTTTCAGATATGATACAACATCCTCAAAGTAGCGTAGTTAGCCTGCCAGCTACTATACTTACAGCCACGGTCGCCGGCGCACCAGGACCAGGACCAGGACCACTTCCTCCGTCTGGTGTTCATGTACCAGCTCCTGCAGGCCCACTGCCACCTTCAGATCAGCCACAAGTATATAGATTTAGTTTTCATAATTTTTTATTAGAATGAAGAATTAATTTTCTATATGTGTAACTGTAAATGTAACAGGCATTTTAGGGACTAATAGAGTTTAAAATCATTAATTATTAAAAAAATTATTCCTTTCACAAATCGATTTCGATATATTTAATTTTCATTAATGTTTAGAAATGACATTCTTAATGAAATTCTTAATGAAATTCCCAATGAAATTCTTAATGAAATTCTTAATGAAATTAAGAACCCAAACGTTTAATTTTATTTGAAATTTTATTGTAACAATGTGTGTAGGAAATACAAACTTTTGTCCCACCACCAACGGTCGGCCAAGTTCAATTAATTGGACCACCACCAGGAATGAATCAAGTTCAATATCAGATACATCCTGGTCAGCCACTACAGATTCAAGGAATGCCACCGCCTGGATCACAAAATTCCCCTCAACCAATGACCCAAATGTACGTAATGAGTCAGCCACCGCCACAAAATTTCATGAGCAGTAGTGCATCCATCAATGGTGCTGTCTCTTATGTGTATTCTCAACCAAGGCCAACTACCCCATCCCAGAATATCATCGAAACTGTCAATGTCAATTTGCAACAGCCACCGCCTTCTGGTAAATATGATTAATTACCCTTTGCACAAATTCAATTTGAATGTTGACACTTAAGTAATTCATCGAGACAGTTTAATGTTAAACCATGATTACCCCGTAAACGACTACGTAATCTAATGATTAAACTCTTTTTAATTGACCGAAACAAGGTGTTTTTATTTCGAATTAAAAGTTGCCCATTCATACATATGGCAAAGCTTTTTTAACATTTAATGCTTGTCGAGCAATTCTCAAAAAATGTTTTTTCCTCGCATTTTAGGCCCAATGAATATGAATCAACAACCGCCACCACCCCCTCCATCGTTGTTACATCTACACTTCCCACCCCCGTTTCCGCCAAATCAACCACCGCCACCCATTTCGCAAACGTATCAGATCCAGTACCAACCAGTGCAGACGACCGTGGCTCAGGGTCAAGCGCAGTTTGTTATTCAACACGGTGAACACGGCGCACCGCCTCAGCAACTCCAGCAGAACCACGAACCGCCGCCTCAGGGAATGGCGCCCCCACCGCCGCCGCCACCCCCACAGCACATGGCCCCGCAGTTCGAGGGTCAGCCACCCCCGCCGCAAATGCAAATGCATGCACCACCGCCTGTATCGCAAGGCTACATGGTGCCGACGTCTCAAGCCATGTCGGAGCACAATCAGCAACCACCTCTGCCACCTGGAAGCGAGATGCAGCATCCTCAGGAAGGTCCGTCTAACTTTCAAACTCGTTAATCAAGCCGTGAAATTATCTTTCTCAGCCATTTCGATGCAAAGCATATCGATAAACTGTCCCTACCCTTTTAATTAGCGCGTATGATAAGTTTCCCTGTAATATGCCTTTGAACATATTTTCCTGTGCGATTTTATCTTTAATGTTAAACTATAGTCGTTTTACAAAATTATGTAGACTTGTTATTCTTAAGGTGAGGCTTAGGTGAGCTCGTTTATATGTTAATATTGCTATTATAAGCTTTGTAATCAATTGAAGTTTATTTGGTATTTAATTTTAGGTCCAGTCGATCAAGGAATGCCACCTCAGCCAGTTCCTCCACCTCAAATGGTTCCTCCGCCATCTGTCAATCAAATTCAACATTCCATGAATATAATAACGAGTGTTCCACCACCATCTCATCCACCGCCACAAGCAGCTCCATGGCTCTATCAAGGCCAACCATTGCCACAACCACCACAAGGTCAAATGCAGGTAAATATTTTTAATTATTATGTGTGTTATTAGTTTTGAATTATCTTCATAATTTGCACATTGCAACTTATTCTCTGAAATAGGCGTGATTCTTGATTTTTGAAATTTAAAAAAATAAAAATATAGTTTGTTACAAATTTGAATTTGGAACATATGAATTGAATTAATTTATCATTCTGTACATGAAAAAAGTTAAAACTTGAATCGTTTATTTATTACGTATTGAATCAAGTTCTTGTTGATAGTTTTTTTTTTTTTTTTTTTTTTTTTTTTTT